ATCCATCTGTAGCGGTTTCATCAAATAAGTATGAAGATTACAAGTTTTTTTTTTTCTGTGACCATCACAAAACTTTTGTTTTGTTTTTTTTCTTCCATTTTCTTCCGATCGTCTAAGACCAAAAGAAACTTTAGAAAGATTTTTTCACAGGCTATAATGTCCTTACAGACAAGAAAGAGACAATTGTGGCTTAAATGAAGACATTGGATTAGCGAGTTTCATGACCGTCGTTGAGAAAGAAAACTTGCTGATCTTAGCACTCGACTGATATAACAATGTGAGAAATATATGCAGAAAGTACTTACCTAACTGGGGACATGACCCAGGTGACGTCGAGATATTGTCCAAAGCCAATTTGTCGTTTGAGGAATTGAGAAAAACAGAAAATCGCAGTTTATGGACGCCCTCATCAAGATTTAATTGTGACTTTTGCCAAATCCCGATATTAAAAGGTCGAATGATTAATTTTAAAAAATTATTGTCATAAAGGTGAAATTGCGAATGTCCGTGAAATGAATAAAAAAAGGTTAAACATTTTTTACTCGTGGTGTTTTTCTCGGGAGAATCAAGATGAACGAAGCCTTTGTGAGTAAATGTTGTTGATATATAGTGGCCTAGAAGAAAATCATTGAAAATGAATGAGCAAAACATTGAAAGGTTATAAAACTTAATTTTAGCAATATGGCAAGAGTAAATATCTTTATTATAACATGTTTATGTAACATTCGGTTGAAAATTATATATGCACACATGATAAAATATAGTTTTAAGGTATGCTATATTTATGGGTTAAAGTACTCAATATCAGGGATAGAGCGTATGTAAATATAAAAGTCTACATTGAAGTCAACACCCAGAGGCGACAGTCTGTTTTATGCTAAATGCAATCGTCAGGGCATCTGCTTTGTGTTTTTGCTCGCCTTATATATATAATATAATATAAATATATATATATATTTTAACATACAACGTGTGTTAGCACGTGCGATACCCTGTCTTCATCAGCCGCCGACCAGGGGTGATCTCACGGTTTCGATGGCTATGGTGGGACCGTCACCCCTAGCGCCACCAGCAGCGTATGAAGATAAGCTAACTAATTGTTCCTTTAAGTAAAATCTATCTGCAATGAAAGTTTCTTGAACGCGTTTGCTGTTATCAAGAAACTTTCATGAGATATATATATAGTATAATATATATATATATATATATATATATATATATATATATATAATATATATAGGCACGGCCGGGGCTCGGTCCTGCCCTCCTCCCCGAAACTGAATCCGACACAATACAAACGGAACTGTCTTAAAAATTTGTTTTAAAAACAGTATTTCAGTTTTCGTGAAAAATTTCCATGTGTTTTAATCTTTAAACATTTTTATTTTTTAAGCAATCATTTTCTCGGTTCTATCTTTCTAGGAATATAAAAAATAATGACTAGAAATTTTATTTTAATTTCTAGCCGTGAACTTTTGTTTAGTATTACTAGTAGTAAAAAATAAATAAATCAGAAATCCTCCTTAGTGAATGATCTCGGAATAAAAAAATTATTTTATCGAGATATTTTACCCTCTTGATTGAATTAAACTTTTCAGAAAGAAAATTACAATTAAAAAAAATAAGCGCTACTGACATTAGCACTTCTGCCCCCCCCCAGTAGGCATAGTGACCCCACACGGTTGAGAGGTTCGGAGTAGTAAGCACCAACCCTGTCGATTATTATAGTTGATGATTGACAATATAACTTAGGTAGAAAAAAAACAACACTTGTGAAACTAGCCCCCTTTAAGGGTTCCAACCTTGTCGGAGATTCCTGCGTAGTACGCATCGCACCGGCCATGATGTAGTTGATGACTGACAATGTAACGTCAGCTTAATAATAATTAAACAAAAAAGCCGAATGACCATAAAACAGTGCTGGAAAAAGAAAAAAAAAAAAAAAAAAAAAAAAAGAAATGGCAGATGCCACAACAGGGTCCTCGAAAACGCACCCCCGGTCGGGGGTAAGACGCGCCGGCCTTGTATACAGGTCAGTGATGCATTGTGGATAGTCTATTGTATTATTCTAACGGTTAACTTGGTGGGCGTGGTTTGTCAATTTGTTTATTTTTTACTTATTTATTTGTTTGCTTGGATTAATTTATTTTACTTGTTTTTGTTTATTTTATTTTCCTTTATTCTTGTTCGTTTTCAGTTTTCTATTTTTAAGTAGCGTAGTAAAAAGTTGTTTTCGTGTCTGCATTTTAAGATGAGTTTTGATTGTTTATTTAGTAGTTTGTTTTGGCCTGGGAAGGTAATTATGGCTATTTTTCCTCCAAGCAGAGTTTACAGTTTTGAAACTGAATGTTGTAGGCTGGTGTTCTTTTTCTTATTCTACATGATATTTTTGGTGCGATTTGTTTGTTGTTTTTAATCTCCCAGATATGTTTAGAAAGCATTGTGCTGTTCACGTATTTACTATTGTAAAGGATATTTTGTTAGTTTCTTTTAGAAACTACGCACACAAAGCATTCAGTTACTCCTATATATATATCTTTCTTTGTTATCTGCTGATTTTATAGTAGCTTGGTATATTACATTGTTCTGCAAGCAATTGCCGTTTAAGGGACATTCGTTCTTTATTCTGCAGTTAAACGTGCGTTTAATTGGTTCAGGTGGTTTGTTGATTGTTTTCCTGTTGTGCTTTCTTATTATTATTTGTATCATTTTCTCGGTGCAACTGCAGCTGATCTTTACTATGTTTTTGTTGAATTACTTGTGGAAAGTGAGTGGTGCGGGAAAGTGTTTGTGCACGAGTTTAAAGAAATATTTCTCCTACGTTTGTTTTTACATTTTTGTTGTACGGTGGGTTGAACCATATTATGTTTCTCTTCCTGCTGGTTTACGTTGTGCTGTGTATGTTAGTGTTGCCGGGAATCATATATATATATATATATATATATATATACATATATACACGCGCCCATGGACAAAAATATGGGGAAGGTGTAGAAAAGTTAAAAATATGATTGAAACTCGTACATATATTAGCTGAAAACACTATAATAAGCATTCTTGATATTTCATTGCCATTTACGGTAGGGGTGGGTATCAATAATAATTAGTGTTCATTTTTATCTTTTCTAATTTTATAGTAACAAGTTTAGTATCAATTTATAAGTGCTGCTTCTTTGTTGAAAATGTCTCTGAAGAAAAACATCCCTAGAGCTGAAGTCATTGCATTGTTCAAAGATGGGTGACCCCAGGTTCGACTTGCAAGATAAGTGAAATGCTCAAGAAACGGTCTACAAAAAAAACCATTAAAAGATACAACGAAACCAATTCTTTAAAAAATCGTAATGGTCAAGGCCGGAAACAAACTCTACGGAAGACAGACTGCTAAAGAGGGTATCTCTAGGCGATAGGAAAAAACTCTTAACGTAACTGCTGGATTTCGAGAGGCAACAAAGTGATATCGACTCTCAGTGAGAAGAAAGTTAGAAGCTGGATGTAAAGCTACAAAAAACTGTTGCTGTCTGAGGTTAAGAAAGAGACTTTCTTTTGCAAAAGAGCATGAAAATTGGACAGTTGAAGATTGAGCCAAAGTTGTCTGGTCTGATGAAAGCAACTTTGAAGTTCGTTCCTTTATTAGTTGAAACTAATTTATGGAGCATAACCGATTTTATTAGGCCTATTAATACTGTATTTTTATTGAATAAAAAATTATCCCTAAATTTTTTATTAGATTTTTGGGATCCCTGGAGTTGTTTATGTTCGTCGAAGAGTTGGGGAAGCATATGATGTTCAGTGTATTGCCCCCAACTATAAAATTTGGAGGTGGAAATGTAATAGTTTGGGGCTACATGTCGTCTTCCGGGACAGGAATGTTATTCATATGTGAGGGTAGAATGAATTGCAACACTTACACAAGCATGTTAGACCAATGTTACCAACCTTCATTACAGGAAATTTTCAACAATAACATTACAGATGGAGTAAACTTCCAACAAGACAATGCACCATGCCATACATCCAGAGTTTCAAAGGGTTGGTTTAAAATAAAGTAGGGGTTATGAAGTGGCCTCCTTAATCCACTGACTTGAATCTCATTGAACATCTTTGGTCATGCTTAGGTACAAGAGGGAAGGTGCACAAATATTGTTCAAAACGCGAGTTAGAAGCCAAACTTCATGAATAATGGCAGAAAATCGAGCCAATCACTTGTGATAAACTGGTTTTCAATATGTAAAAGCGCATAAAAGCAGTTATAAAAGCAAAAGATGTCCACACCAAATATTGAATATAGGTTAAATTTACTTTAAAAGATTTGTTCTGTTTCTTTAAATGATAAAATAAGTGAGTTTCAATCATATTTCTTTTATACATCTGCCCCATAATTTTGTCTATGGCTGTGTGTGCTTATATATATATATATATATATATATATATATATATATATATATGTGTGTGTGTGGTCTGCAATCCATTTTTATACAGGTTTCATTGAAGATGACTGATAATGTACTGCATTTAAGTTTTTATTGTATATTTCTTGCATACGCACAAGAGATCTCTTTTGGACAAATCGTGTAGGAACTGTCTAATTGATATTTGGGCCCGAATGTTTTCAGTTAATCTATTAGCCATTATCAAGGATGTTATTGTTTGCCAATATGTAGATTGTGATGCCAATTTTTGTTTGATAACAGTAAAAATATTTTAATTTCACCAACTCTTATGAACACGGCCACAATGTCCTTACTGTGTTTGGGAATTAAAAAAAAAATACCATTACGATCTACATATTGAGACAAAAAAAACAAAACATCCTTAATAACGGCTAACACAATAGCTGAAAAATGCTAGGACCCAAAGATCATTTGGACACACTGCCCCCCCCAATATCTCCTTATCTACTAGGGCGGCTAGCCAATCCCCATTGCAGACGCTTGCTCAGACGCATTCGTGTTTATTCAACACACACAGGGCCTACCTGTGGTTTATACTGCAACTATGCTGAGCAAACCACAGTTACAGTTTCTGGGAAAGAGCGTATTATCTAGCGTGATCAACAATTTGAACAAGGCTAGCACACTCAAATTCTCGGACACGATGACTTGTGATTTCGTGCTAGCACAGCTATCGACGGCACCTAAGGATTCCGTCTACCAAATTTCACTCACAAGGCTTGGGTCAATCCGTGGTATGGTTTTCAGGCACTTTCCAAAAGGTGCCATACGCTGGGATCGACTCCTTTAGTTCGATAACATCAGGAATTCTCCTTCCTGACAAATCGACCATGGTGAGATGCGAATGTTCTAACCATTCGGGATTATATATATATATATATATATATATATATATATATATATATATATATAAAATGACGATCAGTGAATTTCCTGGTAGACGAAAGTGGTGTAATCCCACAATTCTATTCAACGCATATTGCCTACATTTAGGATACAAAAAATTATTTTAAGAGGTCAGCATAAAAATCTTACCATACGAATGCCCCTTTGAATGGTCAATTCGTGGCACAAGGTTATTTCTTCCTGTAGTCAGTGTCCAGTTGTTTTGAAATTCATACCCACAAGCATAATTGTCTTCAAAATCGCAGTCAAGGGAAGAAGCTAGAAATAAATAAAATAATAATTAAATAAAATCCATCATCTTCATATGGCAGTTCTCAGAAACATATTTTATAGTTAACACCATAGAACAGCGTTTCTCAACTGGGGCGCACTAATGTATCCCGAAAGGTAGCCAGGTGCGCCCCAAGTTAACAAGAGTAATTTATGAATTATTCTTATATTTAAAAAAAAAATCTTTATTTTTAAAAAGCTAGAGAAACCGAGCACATGGCTTCCATGTCCAAGTCTTTGTCATTTGATATCTTAAAATGGATACTAAAATTCTTTATCTTTAAGACAAGGGTGTTTGATGACTGCACCGAGATTATTCGTTCTCTATAATTATAGAACAAAAAGGTAATGTTTTCATGTATACCATTGGCATTTACTTCATTGTTCCTGTTTTTGTCGTTTGGTTTTTTTTGCCTGTCGAGAAAGAGTTATCGGCACATCGCACTTCAGGATTATACAGACTCATGTCTCCCATGATACTAACGTAAAAAATTATTTTTCTCTAACCAACCTAAATAAACACTACTTTTCATTTTCTATTAAGAGCAAATAAATTACGAATTACATGCGGCCCGAACTTTTAATGTGAAGTTTATAGAAATAGGATGGCCGAGTTCCTCTTCTTGCAAATAATATAAAAGGCTAAGGAGAAAAAGTCTAGTTTTATAATTATATAATTTTTATAGTTTGCACAACCGTCATGTCCTGACAATACCTGATAAATAATGAACCATTTAGTTATTTTATTATTGAAATGCAAATCCGCAAAATTTTAAGAGTTTTTCCCCTTCTTCAGTTAGTCTATTAAGTGCCACTCGCGATGCACGATTGGGCAATCATGGCTCTTTGGATTCATGATTGACTAGACAGAAGATTTTCCCCACAGTAGGTTGTCGTTTCTTTCGTTACTGTATTACAAACGCTCAGTAGTGCTAAAACAATCGTAAAGATTTTGAAAACATTTGTACTTTGTGATTACTGAAACTAATTCCTTTTAACCATTTCACCCAAAACAAGGCGATAAAGCCATTAAGACGCAAGGGGGGTGGTGGAAGTGTTGTTCTACGTGCAGTGTTCTTTCAGGACGTTGGCGATCGTACCTCTCGACTGTTCTTTGTAGCTCTTAATATTTTTTGTTATCTCTCCTAAACCTTGTTCCATCGATTTATTAAGGCTTGATAGGTAGGGTATTCATTGTTTTCCTCTGTTCCTCTTGCATCCTGTCCTGGGTAAGACGATTAACTACACCCGACAGCAAGGCGTATGATCAGTAGGTTTCGAGGAGTGTGGAACCACCTCTTAATTGCTGATGTTCCCAGGTTCACCCTGGTCCGGGGTGGTAGCACCTGTTAGGGTCCTAGCTATGGGCAAATAGTTAGCCCCCAAACTGACGTCAAAATAAGTTTTAATACCGACAATTACCAGCAATACATTTTTGAAAAAAAAAAAAAAAAAAAAAAAAAGAGAAATATTACCAGAGTTTGTCTATATTTCTGAGATGAGGTATTATGTACAGTATTTACATTAGTCGGACTATTGTCCTCATCTTTGTCGCCATATTTGTCACAACGTTTCGGCCGTTGTACGCTCCGGCCTTCTTCAGGTGGTTGGAATTTCGAACTGAACCCTTTATTTCGATCACTGGGGTAGACTGTTCTAATTCCACGTGCCATGTTTGATGGATGTCAGTTATCAGTTATCTCCTGCTAGTTTTCCCTCTGAAAGTTCTCCACTGCCTTCTCCTGAGCCGACCAAGCATAGAAATAAATACAATATGGGAACCAGTAATAAGGAGTGCCAGAGAAAAGCAATGATAACAAAGTTGCAATATGAACTCTGGTAAAGACATGCAATGATAACAGCAAAAATTGCAATATGAGCACTGGTAAAAATGATGCTGAAAACATTAGGGTTTATAATACTCAGAAGTTCATACCCAGATGTCCCTCAAGGACACATGGCACCGTGGATAAAGGCGTTGGTTAGATCCAGTGACAGACCCAAAGAAGGTGAGTTCAATTCCTGGTTAAGGCAGGAGAACTTTCAGAGGGAAAATTAGCAGGAGATAACTGATAACTGACATCCATCAAACATGGCACGTCTATTAGAACAGTCTACCCCAGTGATCGAAATAAAGGGTTCAGTTCGAAATTCCAACCACCTGAAGAAGGCCGGAGCGTACAACGGCCGAAACGTTGTGACAAAGATGAGGACAATAGTCCGACTAATGTAAATACTGTACAGAAATATTACCAGCAATACGTTTTTGAAAAAAAATATATTACCAGCAATAAAAATCTTGTCGGCATTAAATAACCCATTGAGTTTGATATGTCGTAATGTCGTAAAACAAACCAAACTTTCTTGCTTCCAGTCTTTCCTGTGAGTATCGAATTTTCCAACCCCTCTTTCCTTATTAAGTGTCGTAGAAATTTCAACAATCACTTCCTGATGTTAAGTATAAACGTCGGTTTTCATTTTCTTTAAAACTTCGTCGTTCAGTCCATTGTATTCTCAGCTTCCATGTAGAACCGCATTTTTGTTGTTTCAAGTCTCTTCGCCATCTTTAAGGAAATTGTCCAACATTCACCGCCAAATACAGAACTACTGATATTACATCATAGTTCACTACTATTTTCTTTGTTTCTAACGAATTTTTTCCATTTCTTAATATTTTGCTTAGCTTTTGAAAGTCATCTCTCGCTATCTCAATGTGCCTTCGAATTTCAGTGTCCCACTTTACCACCTCTGTTAAAACTTCCCATATATTTAAATGGGTGTACATGTTTGGTTGTGATATCTTCAATTGGTAATTTGCATGTCGGGTTGTTTCTTTTCTTAACAATAATGCATTCTATCTTCTTGCAGTTGATGTTTAGTCCTTTCTTTTTGTTTTCCTTCCCTACTTTCTGTACGAGTTCATGTAGTTTCCTTTGTGAAAGAAACCGAGTAAATGCTATTGAGGAGACGGCATTAAAAAGGAACAGGATTCAAAGTGACAGAAGATAACAACTGACGTTGAATTTAAAGTTTCTAAAGATTGCAGTTGACAGAAAAGTAGGAAGCCGGAAGATAGTTCTACAAGGGAAAGATTAAAAAAAAAAAAAAAAAAAAAAAAGAAAAAATTCTTTAAACACTGATCGACGTCTCTTTCCTTTAATTCATATTGATACCACTTACCTAGTTTCTGAATTTTTCTTGATGTTTGCAAATGACGTAGTACAAATAACTGCTTGCAAAAGCGATAAAAAGTTGAATAAACTTTAAAGACCTTAACATCAGGAAGAGGCAGCTGAAGTTCATGGGACACATAAGGCCTGGAGAATCTGATACTCACGGGTCGAATAGAGGGAAAGAGAGAGACAAGGGAAAACAACACATGACATATCTGGCGGCCTTAAGCAAGTGGATGATAGAACGTGGTCTGTGAGAGGTGGCAGAGGGAAGGAACTTGTTGAGAGCTGCAAGGAGTAGAGGGATGTGGAGAGCCATAATCGCCTACGTCCAGAAAGGACACGGCACATAGAAAGAACCCTGTGCGAAAGACGATGTGAGAAACTATTGCCTCCGACTTAAAATATATTTGAGATACAAGATAAACAGAATTATCTTACTTGTCTTGGGTCATAACTTTATAGAAAGAAACTGAAGATCATTTGGAACTTATTCCTTCAAAATGCGACATGCAGTCAAACAAATTTCTTTACCCACTCACCGTAAACAAACAAGACGCAAATGTTATAGAAACACGTTTCACTGTCAACTCCACTTTTACCATTCGTTGGTATGAACTTCAAGTCAAGTCAAGTCATTCATTTCAGATGTCATGACGACCTTCGTTGATTGCGTGCCAAACCTTTTCATGATTTTCATCAATTCGGCTGGGTCAAGACCGGCTACATTGTCGATAGTTTTGACGACAGTTCACCACGCTTAAAATATGAATAGCACTTGCACACCTAAAGCTAACATTTCTTAAAGCTTCTTGAAGTATTACATATATATATAAAGGTAGGATGTGTGTGTGTAACGAATGCACGGCTGTAATTTTCGACGGATTTGCACCAAAATTTACATGCACATGCTCCAAGTTAGCAAGAAGGCCAAGACCGACATTGCATTTCCCAACTCCCATCGATAGTGGAAATAATCGATTTTTCATGCTTCTACGGCAGTTTTCATGTAGTTTGTGGACATTTTGTACTGACCAGAGTGAGAGCCAATAGCTGGCTTCCACGAATAGGCAGGAAGATTCTATTGGCCAGCGTGAGAGCCAACAGCTGACCGACACGAATGTAAAAAAATCGATAGCTGCATTCGTCACAAGTGTGAAAAATTTAAATCTGCATGGCACTTTACTCCAATTGGCTCATTCACTTGCTTAAACTCAACGTTGATTCTGATTCCGCAGAACTGGGTTGGTGTGAAAAGGTATTTGTTGTTAACATTCTTTTTTCATTCGTTTTTTCCAGTTAAGAGTCCTTTTTTAAAACTGATCGTTTTGTGTTCATTTTGTTTAGTTCTTTTTTCGTAACAGATTTAATGTTTAGTATAGAGCTTAGAAAAAATTCATAGTGTGAGATAGGCGAGAAGTAAGGCATGTAGCAACATCAGCACGGCAAAGGGCACTCCTTTAAAGGCAAGGAAGGGCAAAAATATTTTAAGTGATAGCGATTGCTGTATGAGTCGTACGATTTTTGAATCAAGCACGGGCAACGCTGCTGGTTTTTATATATATATATATATATAGCCAGAGGCACTTACAAACTCCAGGAAAATCCACAAAAAAAAGGAAGTCCGTCAATCCTGAACCACATACAATTCAGAAGTGTATGCGACACCTAACGGTATCGTTCTCTACGTGCCACATTCGAATTCTGTTGTTAATACTTTAGTACATCATTAAAAAAAAAAAAACTGCATATTTATCAAAAACTCAATTCAGGATAGATTTCTAGATAAGTAATTATGCTACATCCCGTAATCTGTCCAAGTTAATGTTAATTTCGGGTACTTCATTTGAACTTAGTAAAACCTTTAAAACAGTTTTATCTCAAGGCACGAGAGGACACCCGTTCATTGTGACTGGCGGTGCTTTAAAACTGTTTTATCTTGATTTAAAAAAAAAAAAAAAAAAAGACATCCACTTGATTTTATCTCGATCTTAAGTGTTTCTAGTTTATCACCAGCGAATGATTCTTTGAAATCTTCTTTGACCGAAGAGGAACGGAGGAGTAGATGGCTTCTTTTGGAGAGCAAGTGACAACACCACCGGATCAACCAGCAACTGGATACATCCTATTTTAACAGCCATGCTCGAGATCGAAGGAGTGGGGGGGGATCAGTTCTGGTTCGACCTTGACGTGAGAGGGACTTGTCCGTCGCGTAGTTCCGATGTTACCCATCGTATTGCCAGTCACACGCGAGAGTGAGCAGTTGGTAGGGGAAAGAGATCGGCATACCAGAAGTTAGCCAGTGTCACCTACATACCCACCCAGACGAAGCCCCGAATAAAACCTCTATTTTATAATATGGGAAACAAGGTTCGTATTATGATTATTCGGCGTGGCTTTCATCTTGTTACTTTGTGAGCATGCACAGGGTCCTTTCCTAGGTTTCGGTGCACACGACAAGATCGCGATGTAACGTGGGATAATCATAACCGTGAATCAAAATTTACGTTTTAATATTAAAATTGGGTGAAGATTAAAAAAAAAATGTCATGGCATCTAATCTCAACCAAAAGTTACGAAAATTCAACTTCCTTTTGAATGAATATACAAACACTATAATCAAAATTATATCTATGAAAGAAACATTGTAGAACAACAATTTTAAAAAATTGCAACAATGGCTATAACATTTCAACAAGAACAGATCGTAATTATGACATGTCGGCTGAATATTTTATTTGGTTGCCTTAATAATTTGTCATTTAACTCTTATTTTTAAAATGCACGATTCTCAAATCGATTACGTCTCTCCATACGTTCCTGTTTGTCCCCTATCCATTCCAGACTGTGTTCTGCTATCCATTAAAAAAAAAAAAAAAAAAGCTTGTTAGAGAAAATTTAAATGGTGAGAAGCCTAACATTTATCACTTGGTACATTTCCTCTTTCATATACAAATACTTACGGCAATTGTACTCGTCACTTTTATCGTCACACTCGTAAAATCTGTTGCACTTGTCTTTTTGACTGATGCATTTCTCTTGGCTGCCACACAGAAAACTGTCATCTGAACAGTCTGAAATTTCAATAAAAAATATGAATAAACCGAGAAGCAATCATCATTCAAGAAACAATAGGTTTTCTTTACAATCACGATGGTACGATGGTAAACAGATAATACAGATTATATATATATATATATATATATATATATATATATAGGTCTAAAAGACCGAGCGAAATCAGTGTTGGCATTTTTATGAATTTACTGGGTGCGGCAGAAAGACCTCCCACATAATTAAGATATTAGTGGTAATGGTGTCTTCAAAGAAATTATCGTAATTTTCCACGTATAATACGCCTTCATCCATAATACGCACCGCCAAAATTGTGGGAAAATGTTTCTACTCATGCATAATACGCACCCCTTGTTTGGTAATCAAAAGCCTATAAATTGTACCTCTCCAATCACACCCACCCACTGCTGCCATTCATTTAAACAAGCTTGCTGGGGAGATTATTCGCTGTCTCTCCTCCGCCTCTTATGTTTTTATTGATCTAATACTGCTTAAAAAAAATATAGTCGGAAGAAAAATACCAAAATCCAGCAGGTACAAAAATTTAAATATCTCGGAAGTGTTTTAACAGGGGACGGAAAATGCGACACCGAAATCTGAAGACACATTAAGATAACGAAAAATGCTTTCCAAAAGGCTAAATAAAGCAAACAGGAGAATTTCATTAGAAACAAAAGAATTAATATTAAACTTACGTAATATCAGTACTTCTATATGGCAGTGAATGCTGAAGAATTTCATCACTAATGACCTGGGGCAACAGAAAAGTGGTTCCACAGAAGGATACCGGGAATACCATGGACCGAATATGTTAGCAACGACAAAGTTTTCAGTGAAAATGGAAACAAAAAGGACACTTATAATTAACATCAGGAAGAGACTGTTGAAATTAAGGCACATAACGAGGAAAGAAAGATTGGAAAATTTGACACTCATAGGACATTGAAGGCAAAAGGGACGAAAAACATACATAAACCACCAAATGGATAGCTGAACAGGGATTAGGGGAGATAGCAAAAAAGGCAAACTTTACTAAGACCTACAGAGTACAGGAAATTGTGGAGAGTGATGATCGCCAACGTCCTGAAGGGATACGACACAAAGAAATTGGGAACAAAAGCCTCGAAATGGAAATATCAGAATGAAGCAGGTGCAAAATTGTAACAGTAATATAATAACAGACGATGGAAACCGACACAAAAAAAGACGTATGGGAACATCGAAAGAGGCACTTCAGAAACCAAACAAAGTATTAAGACAAGAAAATTTTGTTAGAAACAAAAGAAAGAGATACTGAACGACTGTGCTAGATAAATCATTCCGTATAACAGTGAATGCTGGACAATTTCCTTACAGATGAAGAAGCAACAGAGATGTGGTTATATAGAATTATACTGAGAATAAATACCATGGACAGAACATGTGAACAATGAAGAAGCTCTAAACAAAAAATGGAAACTAGGAAGATACTCATACTTAAAATCAGAACGTGAGAGTTGAAAATTCTAGGTCACATGAGGAAAGACTGTTTGGAAAATTTAGTACTCACAGGACATATTGAGGCGAGAAGGGTGAAAGGGAAACAGCAATTTACCTAAGGAGTGTGGGAATGACTGGCAGAGTGGATATAATAAGGGATGTTAAAAAATAAATAAATGAAGCTGCGCTTAGAGCGACAAGAGACAGGAAATTATGGAAAGTCATGATCGTACATACCCTCGGAAGGGACAGGGCTCATAAATGATGATGATTAGGAACAAATCGTTTACACGCGAATAGTGAACGAGTTAAGGGAGAACATCAAAATAGTAAGTGGAGTGCGAAAAGGGTTTTTCCTCACCGAATTTATTTAAGATGTAAAGTGATTCTTAAATAATTAGACGGATCACCTTTATCAGCGGATGTAACGTCAACATCCGCTACGCAGATGACACTATTGATGGCAGATCAATAAATCAAGAAGATTGTTAGTTAAACATGGACCTCCGTGTCCACAATACGACGCAGTATCAAGATGACGGATTTTCCCTTGACGCCACTTTTTTTTCTTTTTTTTTTTTAACTACCTTTCCTCTTCGGCAACGTTTGTTTTAAAAAGCGATGATAGGATTAGAATAAAATCTAAACATATGATGAAAATGAATTTATTTTATATAGGTACCTCCACGAGATCGCTAAAAAAAAAAAAAAAAAAAAAAAAAAAAAGAAGAGCATAGCGTGAAGAAAAAGACGCCAAACTTGACGAAAACAAAATTTTATCATCTAAATGTTTGTTATTAAGAGGAAAGATAAAAGTATTTTGGGGGTATTTTGTTTTTTTTTTTTCCATTTTTTAATCGTTCCTAGCACGTCCGAAATTTGTTTTTTTTTTTTTTTGAGGCAGCAAAATTAACCATTTTTTTCCATTTTATAAAAAAACTGGAAATCTCACTTTGAAATTCTTTTAAATATCAATTATCATTTTTTCAAAACTTATTTTTTTAAAAATCAGAAATTATAATGTTTATTTCAAATATTTTGAACCAAGCTTAACTTAGCTTCTCCGCCGAAAAGATGTAATTTGAAAATAAAACAAAGCAGGTCATAAACTTTCGCGTCACTTGACAGGTGATGAATGACATTGACGGATTCCGTGAAGATAATTTGTTCTACGGAAGGAACAAAGCGAAATAATTTCTATTTAAGTGAACAAATTATTTACCTCGTTATTTTTAAGGAAAACTTTCAGCGCTCTAATTTTTTTTTGTTTTTGGACTTAGCTTTCACCTTTACGATGCTTTATGGAAAATATATTATAAAGAAATTAAAAATAAGTCTTAAGAGTGAGATTAAATTTCATAAGAAAGGTATCTAATTAATTTATTGGTACCTTTCTTATAAAATTTTATCAGAAGTGTACATAAAACACTATAATTTTATGTACATTCATTACATTTTACTGTGTTATTTGTATTTCCATTCATTTTATTATTAATTTTGATATTTCATCAATGGAAAAATGTCATAACTGAGATTAATATAAAAATAAGATCATATAAATTTCATAAGATGATACTGATACTTGTAGGTACCCTTCTCAGTTGAAATTGAAAAATCAAATTAACTTCTCCACACGTGTTTCGCAAAAGTAAAGGCCTTAACAGCAGAGAACATTGCTTAACTCAAATAACGCAACTTAATTGTATTCTGGTTGGTCTTCCGTACTTTATAATTACTGCCTGATTATAAATACAAAATTACATTTAATTACTGTGGGTCTTCTGATTAGTCAAAATAATACAATTTACAACGCGCTAAAAAAAGATCTATCTCATAAGGAGTCTTAGGAAACCCGATGTGGCTTTTAACTAATTTTATATTTTAACAACTTAAATGTAAAAATCTATTATAATTAAAAAATAACTAATAATTGTATTAAAAATTCATTTTTCATCGAAAAAATTTTTACTTTCAGAAAATATTGTCCATAAAAGCAAATAAAAGCATTTGAAATTAAATAATATCTTTGTTTTATTGAGTTTTGTATGTTATAATTCAGAGCTGATTTTCAGGTTGGGGGGGGCAATTAAAACAAAAAGAAACATGATTTGCATTCCTCAAAGCGTTGTGCTTTTAACTATTGTAATCGACGCGATAGAATTTCTAGAGTTTTCATAAAATTAGTTGGGGGGCGGGGGTTAATAAATATAAAAAAAAGGAAAAGTTTTGAAAAATAATTAAAATAAACTTTGATCTTTCCTCTTAATGATAATATAAACATTTCAAATTTGGCGTATTTTTCATCATGCTATGCTCTTTTTTAGCGATCTCATGGAGGTACCTAAATACCTTTTTTTTTTTTTTGGTTCTTGAGAATTTACAACAAAAATATTAAACACTATTTGTTTATTTACAAGAATAATTTTATATTTACAACATTTTAACAACAATACAAATAATAATTAAATACAATTAAAAGTTAAAATAAAACTAATGTAATGTTTTTCATTTACCAATTTATAAAGAACTAAATATGAAAAAAATTTTATTAATAAATTTATAATCATTTACTAAATTATAAAAATATGTGAACTATAAGGAAATCCTTATTTACTATTTTATGAAGTTTTGTCGACAAAAAATCGACCTAAAGGATGACCCGAGTTGGAGGTACCGAGGAACCGCGGTTGCAAACCAAGGTCTGGTAACAATAATTTAGCAACTAGTCACAGACAACAATTAACAACCGATGTCCGCGGTCGAGCCAGCAAATAAATGAGTAGGAGTGGTATTTTATAACATTGTAATTGCCTCTGGGCACGTAATGAGAAAGGAGGGCCTGGAAAATCCGATACATATTGAATAGAGGGACAAGGGAAAGCAACGCATGACGTACCTGGCGGGCTTAAGCAAGTGGATGACAGACATGGTCTGGTGGAGGTGTCAGAGGATGAAATTTATTGAGCGTTACAAGGGATAGAAGAATTGCAGAGCCATGATCGCCTAAGTCCTGAAAGGACACGGCACAAAAAAAAAAAAAAAAAAAAAGAACTGCCGCTGCCCATTCTCACTCTTCCGGTTAGAGGCTTTAAAGGAAGAGATGAACATGACACACGCGCCTAAAGATAAGTTGCGGAGCCAGTCTCTACTCTTCTCCATGATCAATTCCATCGCTCCAATCTCATAAGTCACCCCACTTTTTTCCACAGTTTATATCAATTGGCAATTAGCCGATTTTTTGCCAACCATTCCAATAAATAATAATAGATAGTGTAAATAAACAATCTAATAAATAGTTTAGTTTATTATTTTGTCGTCAATTCTCAAGAATAAAAAGTGTATACATTCACTTTCATGTGTCTAAACTGCGTCTAGAGATTATATGCAAGTTATGAATTGGTAAAGAGTTGCGTCTTTAATGTTAAAAGTCCTATTATGATGTTTAGATTCTACTCAATATTATTAACTTAGATATATAGTGATAGAGAAAACTATTGATTTTGGTTGGAAAAAATTTTACTAAGTTAACTAGTTAATTAGATAATATTCTTTATCCTTTTATTCTTGTAAAATCTTATTTACAAGAGATAAATACGAAGCGACCAGCTTAAAAAAAATAATCATAAACGTTATTTGATTAGCAAATCTTACAATAACTTCACGTTCATTAAAAAAATTGAGTCACTGAGCTATTGGAAAAAAAAAAAAAAAAATAAAATAAAAATAAAACTTCAATAATTCGAGATCAGAGATTTTCCAAACTTCCTTCAGTTTCTTCTCGGTGATATTTTTCTTTACAAGTTTGTTTCATTTTAATGGCATCTAAATATTTAATCCTTTCTTTAAAAAGAAAAAAAAAAAAACAAACTCTGATGTGATGAAGTTCCTTGTTAGTTACCTTAATGGGCTTTACCAAAATTAGGACACTTTGAATGTTTAAATTACTCGTTGGTCCATCGGTTTCTCAATTATTATTATACCCTCGGAAAAAAAATCTCCATGCATATATTTTTTGTTTATCTCTCTTTAGAAACCGCTAGGTACGAGATAAGGATACATTTATCTTTAGCTTAATCACCAGCAATAATATTCAATAAAATTCGTTTGCTTTCAAAAATAACATTTAAGACCATTTTAGTCAATAGAGAACCATTTATGAAAGTAACAGATAAGATTGACATCTCAATATAGAATAAAATACTTACTTAATGGAGAACAATATCCTTTGAGAAAAATGATATCGTCAATTTGAAGAACTGAATTCCGACTGACGGTGGCCTTGAACTCTAACTGAATATTTCCTGCCGGAAGGAAGAATTGGCCGACTCTCCATGACAGTTGATGATTTCTGAAGTGAAGCTGCCATTTTGTGTAACTGGAATTGTTTTTGTCGTATTCATAGTGCACCAAGACATAAAGCGAAAACGAGTTCCTTGCTCGATAAGAAAAACGTACACAAACATCATCTACTTGTTGCTTAGGAGATATTAGACTAGAATTATAGTCAACAGAACGCAAATACATATGTCCTGAAAATAGAAAACATGGTTATTTCGATAAGAGAATTTTTAGTGGCCAAAATAGTCCATATTTCGAAACAAAAAGGAACATCATAAATGTTTTAAAATTAGTAATTTTAAAAGGCGGGATGTAAAGTTGATTTCATCTTACCCCCCCAAAAAAAAAAAAACGCTCTGAAAATGTAATTGTTATTCGTTTCTTAAATTTCTATATGATGTATTGCGGACTCCGGAGTCAAATATTTATGATAGAAATTGTAGTTACTGCTGTAATATTAGAAAATTGCAGAAGTTGATTTAATAATACGAAGGTCTTTCTTAATAAATACAGATAAATTTAAAAGATGTGAAGTAATTGCCTGGTCCAAAGTCAATACTTACAAATTTCTCTTACTTAGCATCATGTAATTTTAGCTAAGCCTGACCATTACACATTCTCAAGTTTCATGCTTAAAGTATAACACGAATAAGTGTTCAAAATTTCAGTTATTTTTCGTATGCTGCGTTCAAAACAATCCGAGCCTCGCTTTATGCTTAAATTAATTTGGGGGGGGGGTCTATTCTGTGGTTTGTCATGCTAAAGCAAAAGGTAAATTTTTTTACTATTACACCAGTCCCCCTTCACTTCAGTCATTGGTGAATCCGAATAGCTAGGTGTAGGATAGTCAGTGACGACGACTTAAAGAGCATAAAATAATAGTTGTGGAGGAGACTGGTGTTATCGTAAAAATTAATCTTATTAAATTAAATAATTTTATTTATCTTGTTATTTCAGAATTAAATAATACCAAAAAATAAATGTGCATCTTAACAAAACAACTCAGCCAAACGGTTTTCAAAAGATATCTGATTTATGAGCTTTTTATTATATATATATATATATATATATATAAATAAAATGACTTTAAAAATAAGTTAGGTCTTAATAAACGTTTAATCGTCTAGGTTGTTTTTTTTTTTTTTTTGAGAGAGAGAAGCATGTTTAAGAAAGCCAAACTGTTTGCAAAAAAAGTGTTACATGTAATTTTTTTTTAAATTGTTACATGTAAAAACAGCCGAAATTCTTAAGGATTTATTTTGAATTTGCGAAAAGGTATTTTTTGGCTAATGAGAGACGTGGTTTCAAGTTCCTATGAAAATGTGAATGGCTCCAGAAAGCATTTTGACATCAAGGCATTCCGACGAGAATGCAGAAAGTTACAAATTCAGCTACAGAGAGCCTAAGAAATTTTGGAGTTCACAAGTGAAAGTCTTGTACGGTTTGACAGAACAACGAAAAGACTTCAAGTAAATTTTCCCCAAATCCAAAGTGTGAATATAAAAAAAAAAAAATTTTTTTAAATTGCTACATGTTACAGAGACGCTCGTGAGATAAGTAAAGGTGTTTTTTTTTTTCACTCAAAAAAGGTGGTTCCACGTGTTTTTCTGCCTTCCTGAATGTGCTTTCTCTTTTTGTCATTTTCGAAATTGAGTTCCTTTTTCAATAGTAATCCTGTTTTTGCAACATACCAGAAATTTCTATCCTGTCTTAATATGCTCACAAATGGAAATTTTTGTGCAAATTTTGTATTTGTCGATATCTGAGATGAGGTATTTTGATTACTTACATTACTTGAACTGTTATCCTCATCTTCATTGCCATATTCACAACGTTTTGGCCGTTGTACGCTCCAGCCTTGTTCAGGTGAAATAAAGAGTTCGGTTCGAAATTTCAATCACCTGAAGAAGGTCGGAGTGTACATCGGCCGAAACATTGTGGATATGGTAATGAAGATGAGGATAACAGTCCGGATAATGTAAGTAAATTTTGTCCCTTTTTTTTTTTGCCTATACTGTAAGAAATTTCTTTGCTTTAATATATTACGTAGCGGCTTAAGACTTCTTACTTGCGCCTATTTCAACTTTTAGAAGAGAAGGGAGAATTTTCGTTTCCCTTTCTATTCCTACTAAGCTTTTGTGTTTGGCACAAGAATTTAGGATTTAGTAGGGACTTAATTTTTATAATTAAGCTAGTTCGAAGTTAAGCAAGAAATTCTAAGCAGTTATTGAAAAACAGAAACTTTAGTGACTTACCGGGGTCGGCTTTCCACCACCATTCGTCAAACTTGTAGCCACAACTGTGCATATTGTTGAAGTGACAAACTATGGAAAGTGCTGCAATTTTCGTAAATGGAAAAAAACCTTTTCACAATCAATAAAAACATTTTTAAGCTTTAAAATAAACTAGACAGATATAGCAATTTGTTTTTTTTTTATAAATTGAAATTACTTTCATAAACACCAATGAAAGCATCTGAATTTCTCAATAGATCAATGTTAGAATACAAAACAGATTTCGAGTTTTATAGCAGTGATAATCCTCAGTTAGATAAAATTAATTGACTTTTGTAAAAATTCTCAATTACGTTGGTACTTACCACATACGGTGACTGAATGTAAAATCTGAAGTAAAGTGACCATATGTGTACATATTGTCTAGGACAAAAATTGCCCAGTCCCTACGACCACAATTTTCGTTGTTCGGTTGTTTTTGTTTAGTGGTACATCAACCTCTGAGTTATTTTATGCCATTAAATTCTTTGTACGTATGTTTTTTTATTTTATTTTGTTTTTTTAGATAATAGTTGTTTTAGTGATACGTCTTACTCTCACTAATTAACCAATAGCTGGTGGATTCATACTTTTCCTAAGAGTAGTTGCGCGTGAGTGAATATAAAGAATTCAACTGGAATTGGAACTCGACTCTCCGATTAACAATTCCCAGTCATTACACTAACCGCACATCCAAGCTTACAGCACCTGGCATTCCCAAGCGGTCACCCATCTAGGTACTGACCAGGCTCGACGTTGCTTAACATCGGTGATCGTACGGGAACGTTTCAACATGATGTGGCCGTAAGCCTTCGTTGTTCAATTTTGATAATGAAACCATTTTGTGATTATCGGTTCCAATCGTTTTTGCTCCTCGGAATCTTGATTCTTCATTGTTATTGGTAAATTCAATCGTATCATTTAACCTCTCAATACAGATGTACATAGATTATTCATTCATATAGGTGGACGTATGCGCTAATTTATACAACAATTAAAGATATTTGAAAATTTCAAACAACCATAAAAATATTGATTTAAGACTCATTGTTTACAAAAAACAAATACTTACGACAGACGCTTTCAGTTTCATCACTTCCATCTACACAGTCGTTTGCTTTATCGCATACCCAAGTTTTATTAATGCAATAACTTTGATCCATACAGGCTACCATACTATCGGGGCAATCTGAAATGCAGGAACTATTATTAGTTAATCTTTTGATTACTTATCAATTCAGATCTTTAGAAGTTTTCATATATCAACAAAAATTAAATTAAGATTTAAAAAATCCACATTGAACAGGGTGTCATGTTTACCTTGTTTCTTCTTAGCTGACTGAAGCCCCTCCCTCCCGTTTTTTTTTTTTTTTTTAAAAAGAGCTCCTCCATAACTTTGACCGGAAGTAGCAATTTTGATTGCTTCTTAAACAGCGTTCATAGGTTTTATGCTCAGTGCTAAAAGTGTCTTAAATTTTCGTGGCGAAAAATTACACACCCGAGTAAAAATGCTATGGATACCTATATAAGATTTAATGTTATTATTTATTAACTAATCGAAAGCTGAAAGAATGAAAAAAAAAATGTATAAATATTACTTAAGCAGAATCAGAAATGTTTGCTTTTTTGGTTGTCCAAAGTTTCTTGGCATTTATGTAAAAGAGAATATTATTTTTAAAGCAATCTTTTAAATTTTTTTGATTTATTTCTTTTTTCGGTAAATTTGCTGGTAAATTTTGGTTTTGTTTCCCGAGCGCTAATATTCATTAATATTTTTCCAAATTCGCCATAATTCCGTACAAATGTACATGCTGAACTCGAATTAACAATTAAATTATGAAGAAACCTTACCGTTTTGGAGTTATCGACAAGAAAAAAAATAGGACTTCTTGTTGGTCATTCGTCCCCCATTACTGCCATCATGAATATTGATTCGGTGCGGGATACTTGCGCTGGCCTTTGGCCTATTTACTTCTTTTACAGACTTTCCTTGCAGAAAATCACTACGCACTACCATAAAGAAATGTAATTTTTTTTTTTTTTTTTGCTAAGTGTAGTTTTATTTATAACAAAAACAAATTAAATAATACAACAGAACCTTTTTTCCGTTTCGAATGGCAATGACAAATTAAAAGAACAAATTAGATAATAAAAATAAAGCATTTTTTATATTTTAAAATTGAAAAAAAATTAATGCACAAACTTGGTAAATTATTTAATGTTTTTTTATTTTTAATTTGTCCCCTTTTCTACACAAAGAAAACCCCACCCCTAACTTTAACACCTAACCCTAAAGATCTTTAGGATTAGTTGTGAGGTTTTCTGTGTAGAAAAGGGGACAAATTAAAAAAGATTAACTTTAGAGTCAATTTTAAAAAATAAAAAAATGCTTTACTGTACTACTTAATTTGTACTTTTTTTATTTTTTAATTTGTCAATATTTTCATATATTTGAAAATTAACTTATTTTATTTTTTAAAAAATCCTTTCTAGCCTTTTCTTTACATTGTAAGAATTTATAACTTTATTTGTATTTGCGATAGAAATAATCTGTAAAAAAATGTTATAAAGTTTAATGTACCTAGTTTTAAGTATAGCTAAAATAACTAATGTGATTTCAGGCATTGCTGCAAATCAGTTTGCAAATGTTTTCCGTGAACTGCAAAATCGTATTACCCTTTGTATTACTAATGATGGAGAACATGTGAAAACTTAAATAAAATTTCAATAAAACCTTGAAAAAAATCCTTTTTTACAAATTAATTTCTTTCGCAAATACAAATAGTTATAATCTTTTTAAAATGCACACGAACTTTATGAACACCCTGTATTTGGCACTTGTCATCCGTGTAAAACTGTTTTTTTGATTGTTTCAATACTTCATTTATGTAAAAGTTGTGAGATATTTTTTTTTTGCTTTTTGAAAATAAAATGGTTTGCTTCCTAAATTTTTGATGTTAAAAATTTGATTTTTTTAAACTCAAAATGTACTTGAGTTTTTCTTTATATTCCACATTTCATTGGACAATGTTTTACAGAATTAACTTTAAAAGTAATGTGTTCTAATTAGAAATAATTTTTAAAAACATACAAAAAATAAATTTACAAAAAAAAAAAAATGAATTTTGATTATGGGCTTCAATCGAACTCCTTAATTTTCTAAAGAACAGGTTATTCATCGGAAAGCAGTCTTTTTTTTTTTTTTAATATAATGTAAAATTATATATACATTATAAAATGGTAAATGAAAAATAGTACAATAGACTGTTTATTACTTTCTTTTGAAAGTAGTGTTTAAAAAAACATTAAAAGAACAAAGTTATTAACATGTATATAACACCAAACGGTTAATAAAATAAAATTTGATGCGCAAAGTTTTGTATATACGAGGCTCAAATTTATGTTGTAAAAATACTGTCAAAATGAAGCCTGGCAGTTCGTTAAGAGATATGTATAAGATTTGGTTTGCAAAACTTTTTTTAAAACCCAACCCGCCAAAATAAAACTTTGCGAATAGGTGTTGCTTAAAGTGATACATTTGAGTTAAGTCCATACGTGTCAAATTTCTGATTCATTTTGGAGTTATTTGTGGCTATATAGGAACTCTGGCTTGTCTAACAAGGCGTTGGCAGTTGGTGAATTTAGGAAAAGGAAGCAGAAGAGTTTCGGCATTCACAAAGAGGACGTAGACTGGTTCTGGGATCTGAACAAAAGAAAAACTGAAAGGAAAGAAAAAAACAAACAAACAAACTATAAATTTAGAGAAATATACGATTAACTTTCTATACACTATTTACATTATTCGGACTATTGTCCTCATCTTTGTCACTATATTACAACGTTTCGGCCGTTGTACGCTCCGTCCTTCTTCAGGTGGTTGGAATGTCGAACTGAACCCTTTATTTCGCTCACTGAGGTAGACTGTTCTAGTTCCACGTGCCAGGTTTTAATGGATGTCGGTTATTAGTTATCTCCTGTTAATTCCCTTTTCCAAGTTCTCCACTGCCTAAACCGGGTATTGAACTCATACTTTTGGGGTCCTGTCACCGGATCTAACTAACGCCTTTATACACTGTGCCATGTGTCCCTGAGGACATTCCAACTACGTCTTTTCAACCCTTTGCAGCTTATTTAAAGCCAGAAAATATTTTTAAATTGTAGGACATTTTTTTTAGATGTCTTACTGATTAATTTTGTGGGACGAAGTGGATTCATACCTTTCTCAAAAATATTCGCGCATAAGTGAATATAACAAACACAATTGGAACTCGACTCGTCGATTAATAATTCCGAGAAGTTATTCATTATTCCATCCACACATCCAAGCTTACAGCACCTGGTATTCCCAAGCGGTCACCCATCTTGGTACTGACCGGGCTCGACGTTGCTCAGCTTCGGTGATTGTACAGAAACCGGTGTTTCAATGTGATACTCTCGTAAGCAAATCACTATACGATATATTTCACATGCACTTAGGGACATACAAATAGAAAAATTCTACTTGCCTATTGAAGGACAGTTACCGGGTGTAACCTCAACTTTCTTTATTAGCATTTCGCATTCGTCAATCATCAAATCGAATTGTAGAAATGACTGCATTTTTTCAACGTAATACTGACCGACCATCCAATCATTTTTATTTCCAGCATAAATCTCAAAAACTTTGTCTGTGGTGTTGTAGACATTAAAAAAGCAGTGGGTAGCGTTTAGGCGATAATGTATACGTATGCAACTGTCTGTAATGTTTACAAATGGAGATCTCAGTGAGTTTTTCTCATCATTAAAGGAAACCGCTTTCATATAGAAACCTGCAAAAATTAGAAAAAAGTCAAATTCAATGAAAAATACCAATATTGTTTATGTTGTTAATTTTTTTTTCCGATGAATGATTTGATTCATCTACCATCTACAAACTGGTGATGACCCCCACGACAGACCACGCAGCCGAAGGACGTCGTCCATCAGGATCTCCAGCAGATTAATCTGGCGCTGAAGAATGTTCCGATGCTCTGTCAAGACAATGAGAGCTGAAGGGACAAGGTGAATTCATGACACGAGATTTAGCGGCTACAGCAGCATGTGACTGATTTATGTACATGCAGGAGATTCATTTGCAGTTGTTAGTCGGATATTGCAATTTTTATATTTTGGAAATCATCTTGTAAAACTATTAAAAATGAAATATACAACGTATGAAGATTAAATATAAAGAATATATTAAATTTCCGTGAAGGTTGAAACCTTCACAGAAATTTAATGCGTATATATATATATATATATATATATATATATATGCCACAAAGAAAAATCTGTGTGAATATAAAACGAAGACATAAATTTCGCCATTTTCAAATTTGAAAGTCATTAATGACAGATTGTTAAAACATTAAGTTTTTGTTAAAATGAAAAAGCTTGTTTAATCAAACATAATTAAAAAAAAAAATAGGAGAGAAATGTATCACATGTAAAATTGATTTTATTTTACTTTCAACCCAAGTTTTTTTAAAAGTTATATTTAGAATTACATAAAAAATTGAAAACATAGATTATCACTATTTTTCTTTGAAACTCTTTGAATTTTCATTTTAAGGTGTTGGGAACTTTCTTTTTTTTTAATCAACCAACTTCTCGGGATGTAGAAAAAGTTAATATACCTGAATCTTTGTAAATTCTTGTCCAACCTAGACGCTTGGAAATATTCTTATAACCACAAAGAAAATCGTCAGTGAATTCACATGCGAGTGACCGAGCTGAAACAAAACAAAATACGAACTAAAGATTCAAATCAAGAAAAAGCACAATATCTTCAGGTAATTTTGTGTCGTTTCTTCAAACAGATTGGGTTTCTTTTTGAAAGCTTCACGTTACTAAATTTGTAATTTCGTTACTGATGTCGTGTCTATAAAGAAATACCTAAATTAAAAATTAATTATGCTATCACGGTGTCGTGTCCATAAAAAATGAATTATAATGTCAAAAATAATTATAATAAAATAATTCTAACAATTAAAATTATCATTACTTCACTCCTAAACCAACGAGAATCGGTCCCACTTTTCCCCTCTACACACATACACACGTGACATTCTCACTATCGGACAGACAGTTCACACGGAAAGGTCTTTAACACGTGCGTCAACGAAGATTTCATATTTTCCTTTGATGGAAGCAGCTTTTTTTTTTCTTTTTTTTTAAATAAAAACAACTTTTGTGTTCTACCGACTTCTAGCTAGCCGTCTTTATTTTTTCATTATTAACTATTTGAGTAATTATCTGTGGGTAACTGGATATGCGAGTACTACAACGAAAAGCGGCTCGGAAAGAACTCTGTGTACCCAGTTCGAATTCTAAACAAGTTACATTCACTTTCACACACATACTCTTGTGGAAAAGATATGGATTCATCTCTTTCCCCACCCTGCTATGGGTTAAATAGCAGAGAAGACTGAACTTTATAACCATGGTTGGCAACCAATCTAGGAGAAGGATAACACGTACTATATAGCCACTAAAAAAATTATCAAGTCCACAACTGCAGCATAAGCTTGTAGTCTAAGAGTTCAACTGAAGTTTAATAAAAAATTTGTACCGAGATCGAGATACTACCAAGGCCTCCCAATACATTAGTAATACAAATTAGTACTAGTAACAAAAATAACTATCATAATTTGTATGCATTCTAAATTTCATAACAGGATCAAAATTCTAACAAATATGTTAGCTGTAGCAGTTGTGATATAGTAATGATAATGTTATTAGTTACGACTGATTTTGTCTATCGCTTTGTAATGTTCAGGTGGATGGAACAACTTACGCGGACAGAAACCCGGTTTGACTGAGACGTCATCGATTGCTATGTCACCCAATGGACCGTTTCCTCGTATTGCAGTAAATATAACAGTCGTGTTCTCATCAGCCAATAAATTGATGCACCCGATTATCCAGTTATCTTTCAAATCTCCAGAATCCCACCATTGTAATATCCTCCTCGAACCATTTTCAATACTCACCTACAACAAGAAAAAATAATGTTATAAAATAAAATAAGACATATGTCGGCTGATTTACAGGCAAATAAACTAACATACTCAAGAGCGAGAACCGGATGTGAATGGGACAAAGCCCCGTCACAAAATGACCATTATCTTCGTTTACAGATGTTCCCGACGCACGAGTTCCGGTCGAAAAATAAAATAATATTTTAAAGTGTTTCTATTTTTCGAACAATAAAAATTCTTCCCTCCTAATTATACTCGCGTCGTTTTTCGAGCTTGTTAAGCCATAAAAAAAAAACGCCATAAAAGGGGTCACACGGAAGTACAACGGCAGTCAACAGGTAGCCAGGGAAGGGACCTGTCACAGTCAGGCCGAGCGGTCAGCAGCAGCCAGCAGGAGGAGCGCTACCCAACCTGTGAGAACTACTATGAGAGATCAACCCAGATCTTCAGCCGGCCTATGAACTTACCACATGGAAGATGTCCCAAACCCACACGTTCCTGTTGAAATAAATCACCTAAATCTATTTCAGCTGTTGTCGTAATTTTTTCTTGCAACCATACGCTTGTCTATAACAATAACCATACATAAAAATAGATTAATGTAATTCATATAATTGTACAATGTTGCTTTAATATCTAAATACATACAATTTTCTTTACGATTCGGTTTTTGAATTAAAAAAAACACCAAAAGAAAATTCAAGAATAAACATTGTAATTCATAAACTATCATAGGGCTATGTAACCGTAATACCGTTGTGGGACTACCCCACTTTATCTACAAATGAATTTCCTTAACGCCGCTAGGTGGCATTCTATTCAGGACTATAAAAGGAAGTAACAAACCCTATCTTTTTTTATACAAACGCGCAGAGGATGTGGCAGTTAGAAGACGTGTCCAGCAGTCCCCGCTGTAGGAGATTTTTTCCTTCGGGCAAACCGTCTTCTAAATTCTACACAACCACGTGGCTCATCACACACACACACACACACACACACACACACAAATACAGTTAAAATTATTTTTTATTTTTATCCATCTGTATACATATAAATATAATTTCTTTTTTGGGAGTTATGTTGTTCTTTATATGTTAGATCCCCATTTCTATTTGAAAATCTTCAACATATCCTTCATAATTCTAAAACATTACCCTTTGTAATATAAAATCCGCTAACCCGTATTTTCCTCACTATAACTCCTACCAGTATGTAACATGCACCTATAATTCGGCAAGGAATAGCGAGGAAAAATTAATTCAACTGATTCATTTTTTAAATTTATTTTAACATTTCGTCTGTAATCATGATTTATAACACATTTAATTCTGGGATTATCAAAGAATTAGTGTGTCAAATGGAGGTGTTTAAACAGTAATGTAGCAACAGTGATTAAAAAAATTGGGTAATACAGGTAGAGTAAATGATATCGGTGCAAAAAGTGGAGTTGAGAAGAGGAGTTTAAATTCCGGTTCACTTGAGTTCACTTTCGCACAAATACCTCTAGGAAAGGCATGAACCCATATATTCCCCACATCTTACCTATGGGTTAAATAGTAATACATACTAGTCTCTAAGAGAATGAAAACTGAATTTCAAAACGTTGAGAAGGCATCAGAAAACTATGTCGGCGACGTCTCCCCGAAAATTCACGGCGATTCACAGGTAATCAAGAAGAGGAATGATTAGAGGCATGATTGCCTCCATCGGAGAAAGATATGACAATATATTTATACAGTCTTTCACACACGTGATATCAATAATAATAATAAAATATGCAGTGATAAAATTAAATGAAAATAATACAAATCAATGAAAATATAAGATAAAAATAAATAAAGGACCATATATATATATATATATATATATATATATATATATATATATATATATAGAGAGAGAGAGAGAGAGCAAATAAATGAATAATTAATTAAATAAAAATAATAAATGCAAATAGATAAGTAAATAAATAAACACGTTTCTAATAGTACGATTAGAGGTAAAGATAAAGACAAAAACAAGTTAATAATAATAATAATAATAGTTATATATTAAAAAAGATAATGGTAATAATGGATTAGCAAAAAATATTACATGCTTTAACCATAGTTGTATAGTAAAGGCGGTAAAAAGTAAAAACATTAATAAAAATAATATTAATACTAGAATATGTAGAGGCCGGGTCAGATAGACTATATTAATCTGGGTCAACGTGTTGGAGTAGAAATTTGGATTTATGTAAGCAAGTGCTCAGCAACTCACCTTTGTTTAGGAGATTAGGAACATTTATATTTTTCAGGATTATATATTTTTCAGAAAGACATAATTTACATTTGTTGCCTTTCCAGCTGAAGGGCTTAGCTTTCGCTACTAATTTCTAGTTGATAATTGTTTTTTTTTGTTTTTTATTCTCGCTTTTTAGTTTCCAGAAAAAATTAGAGAAGACAGTGCTGTTACTATATTTGATATTGCCTAATGTCATTTGGTGGTGGTAACTCGCAATAATTGAAATTTCATTAAACCGGTGTTAACACAAAACCAAATTGCCAACGCTTGAAAATTGCTTCGGCATGAAACTCCGAGTTGGACAATCAATGTAAGGTATTATGTATATTTTTTAATTACATACATTTTATATATATATTATATTATGTATTATATATATATATATTACATATATATACATTGGGGTGCAAAGTAAGTTTATGAGGAAGCTTTTCTTTAAAAATATATAGCAGGAAATGCTGTATATTATATTGTAATATTTTCAGACATCAAGCCGAGTTCGAATTCCAGTCGGGTTTGTCGCATTCCCTTAGGCGCAAATGCCATTAGGAAAGGTATGGATCAATATCTTCGCCTAGCTATGGGTTAAATAGCTGGACTTGTATCTAGAAAACTCATTTTTATTTTCAAAAACTTGTTAATGCAATGTTAACTTGCAAAAAAGAAAAATTATATTATTCTTACAATCCAAAATAGATTTTGCCTTTAAATAACCCACAGAAACAAAATCAATCAATATATATATATATATATATATATATATATATATATATATATATATATATATATATAAATAACTAAAAAAGAACAAAAACAATGGTAAATGTCAGTGTCATTGACAATATAAGCCTGAATATATGGGCCGAGTGGTTAGAACGTTTGCTTTCTGGCCGTGAGACCCGGTTTCAAATCTCACTAAGGTTGATTTGTCAAGGAGTTGATTTCTTGGTAATATCGGTCCAGGGTGGAAAGTACTTGAATATCATACAACGAGTTGACTGAAATTGGGTAGGCTGAACCGTTTGGAAGCTGACGATCGTTTAACACAACCATCAAAGGGTTCCATAAGTCACACGACCGAAGCTTTGAGCTTGTTAAAAAAAAATATAAATAAATAAAGATCAAGCGGTTTTCTTCCCTGTACCTTTTCTATAAATACTTTCATAGTAATTGTTCTCATGAACTTTCCTCTTTTGTACCTAGATTTTATAAATTTAAGCGTAATATTAGACTGGTGACAAGGAACCCTTCTCTTTACAGTTAAAATGGTTAGATGTAACCGTAAGTTCTATGCTGTCAGTTTCTTCTATAGCAAATCTTGCTTGCGGAATCTCTTCCGGTTTCTTGCTTCCCAGCCAACGTCGATCTTCAAAAATTTAAATGTGTTGTAATGGAATGACCCACTCTCCCTATCGCATATTGTAGATATCAGTAGATATATATAGTAAGCACAAGATATACCTGGCGGACTTGCTTCGGAAGTTACTAGCCTGCTAACCGATTCCCTGTCTTTCAGTAGTGTATTCTCTTTTACAATAAACCACTCTTTCTTTCATCTACGCGCGTGTTGCTGTTACTTTCATTCGAGTAGCATCTTTGTCTGTAACCTTCTTTAAGGATACAACAAAATGCAATGTCAATCGTTATCTTCTAACATCTTAATTCTTGTTCTTTTAATGCTCTCTCTCTCTCTCTCAAACAAAATATGCTATAAAAACTGTTTTCACGTTCAGCTGCGTTTAGTTATGTGAGGGGGTAAAATTAGGTGATTGTGCCTGTAAAAATGGGAGAATAATACGGTGCAATTATTCTTTCACAAATATTGGGAATACATACTTGAAGTTCACCCGAATCCCTTCCATTCATGTTATAATAAAAAACAAGGTAGTGCCGAGGAGGACTTATGAAAGGTAGGAACTTTAAATCTGTTTTGTCACCTGGATGTCCCAGGCTCGATTCCACATACATAAAATATTCTGAAAGAGAAATTGAAACAACCAGGTTACCGACTTAACAGAACGATTGTCCTCACAGAACATTCACATATATCTTTAGATAATGTTCTTAAATCATACAATTTATTGACCACGCTCAGTACATTCGGACACAATTTTGGTGTGACTATCATCTACCGGGCATGCTTAGAAAAGTAGCAGCAATTTATCGCCAACTTAATAAGAGGGCGATAAATCACGTTCTTAAATCAATTTTTTTTTTTTTTTACTAAAAACTAATGAATTATCGTTGTTAGTTGTTGTTAGTAGTAGCAGAAGAAGACACAGTTGAATTAAATTCCCTAAACAGCAATTACGAATTAATATCATATTAAACAAAAACAACTAATCACTTCATAAAAAATCATTTATTTCAGAAAAAGTTACTTAGTAAGCGAGCAATACTAATTTTTCTAAGCATGTGCGGTAAACATATTCAACGAAATGTTTCTATTTTAAAATTTTATATTTCGACAAATCACAAACAAGAACGATTATGAGTAATCAAAATTATATATTCAAGTTTCCCAACTGGTTACTTTTTAAAATATATATTTAGTGCCATTTATAGTCTGGCCATTGAGCGTTATCTTCCAAATGCAAAGGTTTTGATGAAAGAATTCTTAAAAAGAAATGGTAGACTATACAGTTCATGAAAAGTCATTGCGTTCATTTTGATGCAGGATTTCTAAGAAAGAAATGGTAAATTAAACAGTTTGTCAGAAAGTGATTGCGTTCATTTCATCTGTAGACAACGATCAGAATCTATTTCCAGTCTGTTGGATTGAAATATTTATTTCTTCCTGTCGTATAAAATAACGTCACATTTGGTTTGTCAACTGTATACACCCTCTTTTTCAGATCACTTCTTTGAATACTGCAAAGGTGCTTCAGAATTGCAAAGAACCGTACCAAATAACAGACACCACATCACTGGAGGACTTTAAACGGCAGCAACAACTTAAATGAATAGCACATGCAACTTGCCAAGAAAATAATGACAATGAAGATGTTGATGTTTCACACTACTTCAAATAAAAGGCTAGTAAGGAAGCCATCTATCAATACTGGAAAGAGCGATAACAGTTACTGGATTTGAGAAACCTATATTTATTACAAATTGTTTTAATAGAAAGATTTTATAAATTTCAACCGACTATAACATTGGCTGGTCGGTCAATGAATACTGAATGTCTCTTTGTAAGGAAACGGGTAACATTACTAGAATGTTTTCATATATTGGTCTTTTAAATGTAGTTTTATAATTATGGTTGTTATGGTCTTTCACGGAGTTGTTTTCTTAAATTCCTATGTTCTTAAACATCTTAGAATAGTCACAAAATAGGACATCAACCAAGAGCGTACGCCGTAGAAACTATAAATATAGAAGGCACCGCACATACGACCATTGAGAGAAGCTGATCACGAGTTCCAACCAAGAATAAAGCTAATGCCCTGGTAACCAAGCCATAATGAACCAATCGCAGTTGGGCTGCCACTGTCAAATGAGCCATGACCAGATTCTAACAGAACTGTTTCCAGAAATGGTCGTGTAATCAACAAACCAGCACCTTACAGAATAATATAAGCCTATTGCCAAAAGAATACCTAACAAACATAAGGGTAATTTACCACAGTGATTGTTCGCAAAAATTAAATCCCATAAAGTTAATTTGTAATATTAACTTATTCAAGAGGGGAGATGTGATGTATTGAATAAATATAAACCTTATTATCTCCCTTATCACATTCTCTTACTAACCAATCAGAATCACAATAAAGATTCGCCGTAAGTCAGTTGTACCTCCGCTCGTCAGATTCAAATGTTGTGTTCAACTTATTTCCTTAGACGTTTTATTTGTATAACAATCAGTGTTACATTTAAGACTGGCATCCATTATGGTGATATGCATTAATGTTTGATTTTTAGCATGACCGAAAGTTAGGTTTTGCCTTTTGTGCTCTTAAGTTTCCATCCACAGTTGGTATTATCTGCTGAAATATTTAAACAAAGCTGATGAAATTTTGAAAATTTCTACATTTTCTTCCCTTTAAACATATCGCTTTAAGACATCTCGGATTATTTAAAAAAATTAAACGTAACACAATTTAATAATTATTGCTAATAATCAAAAGCAAGCTATACAAATGAAACCGCTATTATGTTACAGATGTTATATTCTTTTTTTTTTTTTTTCTTGGAGTGTTTGCCACACAAACCAAAGCTGTCATTATTTTATATCATTTTGTCTCACCAGTTCGATTAAACTTTCATTGTGCAGATACTTGTAGTGAGTCCAAGTTTAAAAGAAAAAAGAAAAAAAAAAGAGACTGTTGATGCTAGCCGGAACCAAGCTTCACGTCAGTAGTTTGGAAACCTGACTTAAGGGATATACACAGATAGCCGAGAGGCGGAAGAGGAGAAGAAACCAGCCCATCGTGTCATGTGAAGAAATTAAGCGGTCATCTGCTTAAGACATTTTCCCGCCCTTCTGAGGGCCGGAAAAACAGTAGATTGACGTCTGCAGCATGTTTTCAAAGTAAACTACCGATCCGAACTCACTCCAATCAAAACCAAATAAACAAACATATATCATTTGTTTATACCTTTGATTTTGTTCGTTTATTTTATGAAGTATCCGATAAATAATACTAAGAACTCCCTGGCACTTCCCTACATACTAACCTTTATTGTAATATTTATAGTGTCATAAATATTGTAATGATGTTTATATTATCATGAATAACGTCGAAACAACTGATTTTTTTCAACTAATTATCAAGTTTATAGAAATGTTTAAGATCAAAAAAGACTTTACAAGCAAGATTTACTGCTTTGTGAGTTTTGAAGTTTGTGGTATTTGAAAGGATTTAATGGAAATAGAATAAATATATTTAGTTTATGGATTGTCAAATTAAACACAGGATAAAATTTTACAACTGATAGTACGAAACTACAAATGACTTTATACTACATTTGTAACTTACAAGTAAACAGCAATTTAAAAAAAAGTAGGAAAAAAATCACTGTGAGATAATAATGTTGCAATAGTTACCTTTTCCAAACAATCCCGTATGGTCAGTGTTTGGACCTGTGCCGTTTGTTGGTGATGTTCTCCCTCTCATCCATCTGTACGGACTTGCATAGCATTTTATTTTGTAGCCACAAAATAGGGGCTGGTCGAAGCTGCAGGTTTGTTTCAAAATGCTGGCGACTAAAAGAATATCAATATATTAAAAAACAATTAAGAGAGATTTACAAAATATTTACTTATTATTTACATATGAAAGCGAGTTTAGACTGTAGAGAAGATACGTAGTAGTAGCACTATCTTACTGGTGCCTTAAAAATGCTTGGAAAAATAAATTCTCATCTCCCTTTTTTCCTTCGTCTAATGCCTTTGATTTCGGTTTATATCGCTGGGTTGAAAACATACAAAGTGGTATAGATACCTCATCGATAGATATACATACCACTTCTTACGTATAAACTAACCGTTGAACTGATTTGTTGACCAGGTAAGCTTTTCATCTTTGCAATTATTTTCCTGGGTACACACACATATATATATATATATATATATATATACTTATACACTCACCCACACGAATATACACACTTACACACATCCTACTCACTCACTCCCTAATGAGCCAAATGATAACACACATATACAGCAATACACACGCTTACACATATACTCACTCGCTCCCTAAGAAGCAAATAACACACACACAAACACTAAACAGAGACACATCCCCTCACCAGGTCCAATAAAACTGTCAAACTGACCAGAGAATTCAGGGCAACATGTATCTATCCAGCTCTTATCTCAAATAACAACTTAAAAGAGACTGTTTGACCAACACAAGGAATGTTAAAAGATTCATGTTAAAAAGATAAAAAAATCAAAAATCAAATGAAAACTACAGACAAAAGTTCATTTTATCCAGCAAAAGACTCATTTCTGTAGTTTAGTGCTACCAGCAAGCAGAAATATTTCTCCTCCCGATGATGGCCATTTCGGTCGAAACTAGTCGAGGAATCAAAATGGAATAATAAAAAAAAAACAAAAAAAAAACCCGAAAGAATATTAATCTATAACCCAGTGTGTCTAAAGATTTTAATTTTTTTAATTTTTTTTATTTTCTTATTGTTCAATATATATATATATATATATATATATATATATATTTTTTGTTGGATAGATGTGAGTTTGTGACCCTGGGTTTCACGCTTTAGCGATCGTCAGACAAACTAATTAATTTTTAAAAAAATTTGGGTTTATGTAGATTGCGTGTATTGGTGTTATTGTGGAAGTGGTGGGGAAAACTTCGTCGCTTATGTCATCGTACTAACGCAAACATCGATGTATGCAGACACATATACATACTTGGTCGTCCGTCGGGACTCATACATATATAAACATATGTGGGCAGTTTCGGATATGACATATGTATGTATAAGGGTGGTGGTGTGTCTATACATACGCATTTGTATGTTGAAATTCAAAGATTGGGAGTGTAGCGAAAATTTTCTCGTGAATGTATACATGTCATGTTTTTATTTTTCCAGTGAATAAATTTCTTCGCATGTGTGTATGTATGTGTGGTGGGGTTTGTGTAAAATTATGATGGTACAACGCACCGTTTCTGCTATTTCGAATTTATATGCAGACATGCAAATTAAACTTCCATAATGATGGTAAGTTATTAGTGGCAACGATGTCTTCATAGCTAATGTCTTTAGCATTATGTGGGAAGTATATGTAGGATTTATTTCTGTTGCACTCTGTATATGACTTTTAAGGGCAACAATTGGACCAAGAAGAGACACTGATCTCTTACCGTTACAACTGCGACCATCAAACGATTACGATCAAAGGGGAAATTACCAATATGGCTACATTAAATAACTTCATGAAGCGTGAGTAGGAGGGGGTGAATAACCTAACGGGCGGAAAAAAGAAAAAATATTAACCACATGGGAACCAAAAAAATAAAAACAAAATAAATTACACAGGGGGAAAAGAAAAATTCTCAGAATGAAAAAAGTTAATGGTTATAGATCGGTACCTGTAGACGTATTCCTGGTTGCTATTATTACAACTTTGTCTTGATTTAGTTTCTCATTTCAGGTTTCTATACTATATTGAGCACTGTTTTTTTTTTTTTTTTTTTTTTTTTGTATGGTAGTTGTCGCTGTTTCTTTTTCTTTCTTTTTTTTTTTTTGTAGGCTTTGTATTTGTAAGGGTTGTTATTTGTCGTTTTCCTACACCTCTTAGTTTACCTCCAATGATTCACTAAAAATGAGCATATACACATGATGAAAAAAAATGACTTAATAAAAACAAAGTTTTATCGTCAAGATTTTTGTTATTATTAAGAACGACGACGAAAAGATTTTTGGTTATTAAATTATATTTTTAATCCGTTTTAGGACCTTCAAAATTTTGGATAATTTTTTTTTTTGTGTGTGTCAACAGGTGACCATAAATTACTATTGCAAATTTTATCGTTTTTTTATTAGAAATTCTTGCAAAAATCAAATAATTGTTGGAATTTAATGAAGCTTTCAGGATTTATTCATAAATGAATTAAATTATTTTATAAGCATTTATTTTTTTTAGAAAATCCTAGTAATTTTTTTTCACATCTGTAACACCCCACTTATTTAACTTTATGAAATTTCGAGAAATTCATTTTTGTAGAGCATAATTAATGTTTATATTAGTTGTAAAGAAAAGTACTTGGAGAATTTAAATCATCAATATTTTTTTACTCGAACACGAGCCCCAGTTACAAAAAAGCTTCTCTGAATCGTAAAATAAAAATGCAATAAACCGAGACATTATTTAATTAGAAAAGCTTTTAATTGCTTTAATGAATAAACTATATTATACACACCATTGTCTTAAGAAAAAACTTAATAATTATTATTTAAAAGGATTGTTTCCATTTTTTTAAAGTTTTACTTATAATAATTTAAAAAGTTTTAAATCTTAAAATTCTGTATGAATTTCTAGCGGTTCGTTAGATGAATTCAGAAACCCCCAGTATTTTAAAAATAATTTTGAATTTTTTATGTGTGCATAAAAGTGCTGATTTTTGTAAATACGGATGTCTATACACGACATTATCAAATAAATAAAACCGGTAACTATAGCAAATTTAAAATTTATTAGTAATTTTCTAACATTTCGTAGGTAAAACTAAAGTACCTACAATTCAATAAATTATTACATTACTTAAAATATTTTCGTAAATTTTTAAGATTAATGGTTAGTTAAAAAAATTATACAAAAAAGACGTTCTCCTTATGTTCGTCAAATAATAGTTAAAAAAAATTATGCGTCCCGTAGAAAGAATTTCCAAACATGTCTATCGAGATTAGTTGTCATTAGTTGCCAATATTGCTGATTTTTAGCGATTTTAACAATTAAAAATAATTCCAATCAATGTAAAATCAGTTTGAAATACAGCGAAGTATTTTGCTTATCGGAAATATTAAATTTATCTATTAACTTGAAATTAAAACAAAAATAAAAGCTTGAAGTATGATTTTTCACATATAGTTTTTTCTTTGGAGGTGCGTGTGTGTGTATATATATATATATATATATATATATATATATATATATATATAGAGAGAGAGAGAGAGAGAGATAAAATGTGACTTACTTGGACACTTTTGGTGATGATAAATCAAATTATCCAATCGAGTGACGCCATTTGGTCCAAATCCATTTGTCGACGTAAATACAATCCGCATCATCTCAACTGCAGGAAGATCTACGCATCCCCCAATCCAGTCGATGTTTGTATTGTCATTGCTACTCCATAGTTCGGTCTCATTCTTGTTCACTTTTCGTAATGAGACCGTTAATTTATATACGTCTGCTCCGTTCATCTGGTAAGAGAATCTCAAACTGCCATTTTCATTTCCGTTGATTACTGGAGAAACCAACGAAGATGTTGCCAGTTCTTGGTAATTACTTTTTGTTCTGATTTCCATGAAATCCAATTTTTCTATGAAAAAAGAAATTCAGTTTTTACACACATTCATTTATGTACCAATTCAAAAGGATGACTAAAGTGTATATTTTATTGAGCAATCATAGAAAAACTTTGACTTATCAGCTTTTCAAGTACAAATTTTAGTTTTTACAGTAATGAACCTATAGCAAGGTAAAGAAAATTGCATAGCATTAGTTTCTTGGGAATCTCACACTTTACACTTACAAAAAAAATTAAGCTAGAACAAGCATATTTTCCTGAGGAACTTAATTTTAGCATTTGCACTGATGTACTAAAAGTCATGAAATAGATACCTAGTATTGTAGAGGACCCCCCCCATGACAAATCGACGTTTTCGTAGAACCTCTGGAGAAATGTTGAGCTATGACATTTCGATAACTTTTCACAGCTTCCTGATATTTATAGGTGCATGATCCTGCATGAACCTCTCCAACACGTCCTATAAATGCCCGATTAGACTTTAGTCGGGTAGACGTGGTAGCCGCCCCATCTATCGAAAATCTCCAGAATGTTCCTCCAACCAATTCTAGACAATATGGGCCCCGATTAAACGGTGCATTATCTTTCTGCAATAATACATACTTTTTGAGATTCATGGAGTCCATGTGTACAAGCAAGCCAAAAGACACAACCCATGTCACGTGAACACGACAGACCGTTATGGAATCACCCCAGCCTGCACGGTGCTTTGACAACTGGGTCCTACGACTTCATACAGTTTGCACTACATTCGAACCTTGGCATCAACCCGAAACAACTGGGGGTATTACTCCAGGTTTCAATTAGTGATGTCATATACCAAGCCGGGGCGCTGTGTCCAGTGTTAACAGGGGCATCTTGATGGATCTTCTGCTCTCATATCCTATGGAAGCTAAAGAATGCTTAACTGACCTTCTGAGTATATGTCTGATAAACCCTGTATTGAATGTGGATGTGATTTGAACCAGTATCGCTGATATGTTACTGCAGGCAATTCTAGCCAGCCGCCTCTAGTCATGAGCATTAAGGACCCGTGGTCAGCGGTGTCCACGGTGGGCGGTAATGAAACCATAGCTCGAGAGATGTCAAGTGTCCCTACAATTTCAGAAGTGGAAAGTTCCATACATCTAAAACTCCCGAAAACCGATAATCCGCAGTCTTGCTATAAGCAGCAAAGCCAGTGTTCATGCTGACTGACCAGATACCAGAGCACAACTGATATAGGTCTAGGCATTTCCATGAGAACAAGGTTCGGTGGTACCACCTACCATTATATTTACATATTGCTAACCTATGGCTTTTGGTACGTCAGTGTATAAATAATACTATCTTTCCTCTTTATGTATGAATTCAAATATTTATTGTCGGTCGTTAATGAGGGTTAATTAACCTGGGAATAAATCAGGGAAATATCACTTCAGAATTCACCTTGCCTTTATTTATTTGCCTTTGATTGATCGACGTTTTGTTTACACTCCTACTAGAGGGTACTGAAAAGTTTTTGGCTCGACCTACTTCCTAAAATCTGACTAAATGATCAAATATCAGATTTTTTATTTAGAAGGGTTTCTTGATCGGATCCCAAACATTTCAGCATCCTGCATGCATGTGAATGTGTGATTATTGAATCAGACTTACTTGAATAACCATTTGTGGTTATAACCCTTGTCCAGTTGTAATCGTAACCATTGGCTTGTAATTCGTAGTTGCAGGTTCCTGTACTGAAATCACAATCCAACGGATCTTAGGGAAAAAATAATTAGAATTAAAGCCAGAAAGGCTACATCACGTGAAACGTAGACTTTCATTTGTTATAAAGAAATTATATTTGTAAAGCATCATTTAATAAACAAGCAAAAATAGTGTCTATATCTCAGTATACTTAGAGCTCCTATCTTTATTTTGAAATATTACACCGTTCACTTAAGTTTACAATCAACGTTTTTATACTACAATTTTTTAGCACCTGGTAATTTTAGCTCAGAATCGTCATGCTTCGCAAATTCTCAAGTTTGACCCTTATTTCCTGCTTAAAATAGAACTTTAATGAGAATTAGACATTTTAGTTATTTTCTACAAGTTACGTTAAAAAATATCTATGTTACACTTTATTTTTAAAACGTTTAATTTTGAACTAATCCGAGTTTTGGGATGTTTATAAGCTTTAATCTACGAAAAATAAAAAGTGTACTAAAATTGGTTGTAAGATGAATCTTGAAAACTTTACAATTTTTGTCAAATGTGTTTTTATATTTGGTTTTGTTTAGCGGTATATCAACACCTCTATGGGTTATTTAATGCCGAAATCTAAATATTTTGAACACGATTTTATGGCTTTAACTAAATATATTTTGAACGCAACTGTATGTCTTGAACTACAAATAAAATGTATTGCTGATTATGTATTGGTCTTTTTATACAAAAAATGTATTGCTGGTATTTTTACTATTAAAATATTTTTTTATACTTTCATAGTGGCTTTGTTTGGTGGGGGCTCACTATTTGCCCATAGTCGGGACCCTAACAGGTGCTACCACCCCGGATCAGGGTGAAACAACAGCAATTAAGATATAGTTCCACGCCCTTTAAGACCACCAATCTACCGATCAGAGACTTTGCTGCCGCATGTAGTTTATCGTCATACCCAGTACTTCAATGTGTCTTTGTTAATCGTTATATAAACTTTAACAAATAAACGACTAAACTCATAAAATATACATGAGCTGAACCACAAAGTATTCATCCTTTAAAATGTTACTTTTGAAAAATTCAGTTTCTATCCAATTCAGTTTATTGCAAAACATTTGGTGACGTAAATAGTTTTTTTTTTAAATACGTGTATAGTAAGTAATACAAAAGGCAGATACCCATAAGAAAAGTGCCACTATCTACAAAAAGAAAGTTACTCAGTTGATATCAAATAAAAATTTAATTCCATAAAAATCAAATTTGTATATAATTTTAAACATTCTGGTGTTCTAATTAAAGAGTTAAAAGACCATCAAAAGAATAAAGGGTTTGTAAACACTTACGAGGGCATTTTTGTTCATCTATTCGAACGTTGTCAATAGCAATATCACCAAGAGGAGAAGATCCTCTCACAGCAATCAAACTGAAAGCGTCTGCATGAATTGTAATTTGTGCACAGAAACGTATCCATCTATTTCCTTGGTTCCCAGCTATTCTCCATTCTTCCTTGCTCGATCGAGGAGAATGATATCGCAAATGTAAGCTACCCACACTTTTCCCATACATGTGATACCAGAAGTTCAGATACTTTTTTGTTGTATTCTTGTCGACCGGAAATGTAACTGTGGCCGAATCTCCTGGATGACCGTACGAGCTTTCGGCATACAAGTAAAAACCTTTAAACAAATTGTATATCAAATTATTTTTCAGCATCCAGATATTGCGATAGACAGTAAAATATAATCTCAAAATTTTCTTTTTCTTTTTTTTTTAACTTTCTGATAAGTTTTCGAAGGGCAAGCGTTTATATTGAAAGCTCTGTTGTCTATTGAAATATACAATATATTTAATCGAGACAATAACGGGTTATGTCATTTTTAGGTATCCTATACTCAGACATACATGAAATAAAAAATTTTAAGAATATACACAATGTTGCACCAATTCTAAATGATAACTTTCAAAAGATTTAATTCCTGACAATTACATTGTAGATGTATGATAATGGGAAATTGTCCAGACTAGAAATGAACACAGTCTTTTAAAGAGAGACATACTGCATATAAAAGAATTGCGTGCATTTTTCTGTGGCTAGAAGACTGTTCGATCTTATGTGGAATATTAAAAAAGTTATGGGTTTTTTCTTTAAAGCTAGCCAAACACTTCTTGGAGAAAAGACGCCACACAATCCTCTTCCCTGTTCCTTATAGCGGACTTCTTATCTACCGCCGCAGACAATTAAATAAATAACCATGACTACTAATCAGATAACTCGTTAAGTAAAATGACTTTGCTAATTTTGCTTAATTTTCGCTGAAACAAATCATACTACTACTGCTAAAATATCTACTATATAATAATTAGCGTTGTGTATTGTTTATTTATATCTTTCCTGTCACAAGACAGAAGGTAAATCAACTTAAAAGGTAGTAAATTTATGAGTGGTTACTTCTTAGTCATTTTAATAAACGATACAAATAAAATATTTATCTTTATTTAGACAACCCCAGAGCAAAATGAACCGCTTAATTAATCCGTTCCCTTGATAACCGTGGTTCAACGTTTTACTGTACGAGGGATATAACGGTGGGGTTGGAGAACAGAGGCTTTAGGAATGAACATATTCCACAATAGGCTATCAGGTTTTCAAACAAAGAAATGTCCGGATATCGAAAAAACATGCAATAAATCAATTCTAGAGGTTTGTGAAATTCTTATATAAACCAGCCAATATCGAGAGGCATGAACAACCATGTGACAAGATAGATTGTCCGGTTTTAATCCCTACTCCTCAGGTTGTTGCTCTGGCGTGTCTTCATTATTACAAATTACAGCTAGAATAACTTTCCTGATGAAAGACTGTCAACCACCTACATAGAAATATTAATAATTCTTTATCCTTTATATACTTTGAAATTCTTTGTTATTGGACATATTGTTAGATATCAACAGATTCTGTTGTCTTATGTCTTGAAATTAGTTTTCAGCAACGAAATTACGACGACTGAGAAGATTTAACACTTGAAATCTCTGCAGAATCGCAATGACCACTGGACGAAATCCCCATAGAATCTGGTTGTCTTCCAGCTTGCTGATGTCGACATGCAATGGCCGAGAAGAAAAAACACACTGTTTTTGGTAGCTTTGGGACAAGAAAGCACAGATGGACGTAACAAAACGCAAACGAACAATGACAGCAGCGACCGCCCAACCAGCAGAGGTATTATATACCCTTAATATTACGTTTCTTAGATTGAAGTCTTATTTGTACAAGCCTTTCTTGCGAGGCACTCATATCTTTGTCTTGCTTCATTTTGATCTTGAAATCGTCTTTGACGTTATGCTGCTAATCTTTTTTCTTTCGAGAGATGTTTCCATTTTGTGTCACTGCTATATTTAATACATAAAATTTCTAACATGAAAAGAAATTGAACAAAACGCGATTTATATGATGCCAATCATTTATCCGTCTAGAAATATAAAGGGTGAAGATTAATTAAACGGTTCATTGGCCTCTATTTTAGTTGCGTGTTCTGGATTTCCGTTTTATCGTTTCAAAACTTGTTTCACTGCATCTCAATATTAGACTTTCTTATAATTACCATATTTGGCGGCACGAATACACAGGTAATAATTACAATACACACACACATATTTTATATATATATATATATATATATATATATATATATATATATATATATATATATATATATATATATATATATATATATATTATATTATATATATATATATATATATATATATATATAACGACGATCCTTTTTCTCCAACATCCAATACAAAAAGAAATATACACACCCTTAGTTCGTCGCTTCAGGAACCTATTTGGATATTTACATGTGTAATGGTTCCGTGGTGGTCACCAATGAGGAATTTAACCTATAGACGGTAACTGTAGTGGGTTTCTATCGTGGAGAGCCTCTAGATTGGAAGATATCGGCTGTGATATGATCTAGAGAGGAATATGCTCCGCCAGGCCTACATTGTCCAAGACACGCTACGCATGAAACAGCGACCTTACTACCACACTCGCGCATGGGACTAATGATGATAAAAGTATGCTTTCCCCAATTCCACGCTCGAAATATGAGAACCACACGGACAACCGTCCTTTTACAAGATTGTAAAAGAAAAGACATTACTTGAAAATAAAGTGATTAATCGCAAAGTTGCATTTCAACTTTAGTTTAAAATATCTAACATATGCCTAAGAAAGATAATGTACAGATTCTTGTTAATAGTTTATCATAAGCCAATATGAGTTAAAACAAGCGAACAGTTATGTAACTTTAATCTTACTATCTTTAAAGAATTTATAAACATAGAATCTATATATGATACATAGATTAATAGCGTCCGTAAATTCACTTAGAATTTTATTATAATTCTGCTGTTCACTCCCTTAGTTATCACGTACGTACATTACACCCTGCCAATACCTCATAAATAATGGACTATTCCGTTCTGATCATGTAAAAAGACGGAAAAGACATATCAGAATCAATACTTGGTTTCAGTGAGAAAAAGAAAGAAGATAGAAGAGGCGATAAAACTCATGTTTAACGTCTGTTTCAGTGAAATGGAAAAAGTTATCAATTTCAAATCTTTTCATTTGTACCCACTTACTTCTTTAAATAACGACCAATATTCGTATTTATGATCGTTAAAGTTGTTAAGCCCAAATATTTAACGATGCGATAGATAGGGGAAATTCTAAGGATAGTTTATTGCCGTAGAACTCACCATGAGTTTATGCAATCATTAACTTAAAAAGTAAGATTCATTAGAAAATTCAGATAGGAAAACTTAACTTTTCACGAATCTTTCTAGCATTTAAAAATTTGAGAGGCAATTAGTTTGTATTTTGCTGCGTTGGGTTTGTGGCGTGATTTTATCATTTTTAGATCTGGGTAAAATCTTTCTTTTTTTAAATTTTATTCTCAACCTTTTTCTACCAACAGTCGAACGAAGAAAAAGACACATTATTTCCGTACAAACAATTTCATTATTTTTATTTTATTTTATTTTTTTGAAATGCACAGAAGATTTACAATCGATCTTATAACTTAGTAACGATATTATAGCTTATTCAAAATTGATTTATTAGACGAACATTGGTCAATCTATTTTAATACATTTCTCTGTAAGAACTTTAAAACCAATATACAAGCAATCTCAACAAAAAACTTGTCACACCACAAAAAATAATACTCATTGCCTAAATGTGCGTATTGGGTAACGGCTATCGGTACCGAAAGTGGAATCGGTGAGACGAGTTCAAATTCTAGCCTAATCAGTTGCGTTTACTTTCGCACAAATTAATTTTTTTCTCCTTTCTAGTTATGGGCTAAATAGCATTGTAAACTGAACTCTCTAGTCTTGGGTAGCAACCAGTTCAAGAGAAGGAAAGTTCTGAATTTCAAACTATTGAGCTTTTTTCAGCAGGAAACCACTCCACCATCTTTCCCCCCAAAAGCATAGCAATTCACAGATAACAAAGAAAAGGTAGGGGAACGACGTTAAAATGCACAGACAATCAAAATTGTAATTTCAATATTTATTTAGCACGAAAAGCAATTTATCTGACCGGACAGATTGCATGCTCAGCTTACCATGTTTAGTTTCTGAAATATCCATATCAGGTCCAGTGCCAAAAGTTGGAGTGGCCCCACTGTGCCTCATCCAAATGTATTCTCGTTCATCTTTACAACTGATTGTATAGTTACAAAGTTGAGGACTATTAAACGTACAAGTATTCTCCATAATATTTTCTGTCAAATGCAAAAATGAAACAAAATATATGAGGTTTAGAGTAAAGCACATGAAATTTTTTGGTGAATAAAGCAATAATTAAAAAGAAAAAGAAAAATGTCGAACATAAAACAAAACATAAAAAAAGCAAACTTAAAATAAAAAGAACCAAGAACATTGTTTAATCTCTAATATTTAATTTCCCGTGAACCATATTTTCCTAAAACGAACTTCAAAATTTTGCCTTTTCACAAATCAAATTCAAGAAGATGCCGAAGACATCATCTATGCTGACAACACAGATGAAATTGCCATGGCATCTGTCTGTCACGGACAATGAGCTGAATATCTACGTGAATAATTTTTTTAAACAAATACAGTGTTTGGTTAGCTATTTTAAACTCTTTGTTGCACAATAATTAATAATGATTATAATTAATTATAGTTAGTTAATAAATATAATTAGTTTATATTTACATACATATGCACTTACAGTTTACTTTCGGCCATATAGTCCCGAATATCGCGAGGCATGTGACCCGAGATTTAATATTTAGTTTTCGTGTATAATGCGTACAACTAACTTGTAGGTTTTAAACCATAGAATAACGTGCGCATTATACGCGAGCAATTACGTACTTCTGTTTTTACTGCATTTCAATTCGATGAACAGGAAAGTGAAATATTTCCTACAATTCGAATTGAGTATTGTCAGGTCAACAAGGACAACGTCCAAACAAAATTAAAAAAAAACGCCTGTAAAGTTTTTTCAGATTATTTCATTCGCCTGTTTTATATTTGTCTTAATTTGAGTCACATTGCAATTTTATAAGGAGGCAGTAATTTGAGATTTGTTTTATTAAGGTTCAATGTTGACATTGAAAACTGGCCATAAGGAAGTCAAAGTAAATCGTTAAATGATGGCGTGATTACATGAAAGATTTACGAAATACTTGTGCAAGTTGGACACTCGTCGGAAAGCAACAAGCTTTGAACGAAATAGAGTCGAAAATAAATAACCATGGCCACAATCAGTTCCCACGAGAACATTAAGACACCAATTCGTATTACTAGCATTGTCTTGTAATAGTTATGAAAAGAAGAACTAAAAGCAAAATGAATAAAAAAAAGATTATTGGGTAACGGAAAGAATTTGTCTTACGATTCCTGGTATTATTTGTCCCACAAACAATAATTTGCTGACTTGCGCGAGTCAGAGTGTAAAAAAAAAAAAAAATGGAATTTAGACAAATAACAATAAATGCATTAACAAAATAGGTTTACAGAAAAGTAAAGAACTTCATCGTTGAAGTTATTGATAGTTCAACACCATCTTTAGTTGATGTCTCTGAAGTACTTACATACCGCGTGTTTTGCGAGAGGAAGAAAAAAAAGGCACGTGTTGTCGCTCTGAAGCTAAAGGGAAAAGACTGCGAGCCTTTCAAAAATTACGCTGCCTGTAATTTTAGTCAGGAGGTGGTAATTCAACAAGATAAATAATAAGAAAATACTGTCTCCCTTGTAAGTAAAAACAGAAGAGGAAAAACAAGCAGCCGAAAAAAAAGTCTTAGAAATGACCAGGGAACGCAAGCAAATGACACCCCTGTAGTTAACGCCAAAGAGAGATTAGTATTGCCGAGAACGAAGACATTCGCATAAAGAAAATAAAGTTTTATCTTTTAAAAAAACTTACTTTCGCATCGACCTTGGGAAACTGAAATATCGTCAATCGCGATGTTCAGTTTCTTAGTTGTTCCCACAATCGCAGTAAATATAAGTCCGCCTTCCTGATTTGGCGGTAAATTCACACATCCATAATTCCAGTCAGTTCCGTGATCTCCGTATGCCTGCCAGAGAACTGTTTTCAAATCCGAAATCTGCTGATCAGCAAGAATAAATGTCACTTGTAATTCCCCGGGGTGTGGCCCAGACAGGTAGTAATAAAATTCCACTTTATCACTTTGATTGGTCCGTACAACAGGAGAACGGAGAAAAGTTCTGTCTCCCTCAGTATATTCGTTGAATACAGCCATAAAGCCTCCTGCAATAGCAAAAATAAGAGTAAATTCTCGTTAGAAGTTCTCTTAATTCATTAACTATGGTTGGCGGGAATTTATCGCATTGAAGCTCTATGGCTCAATAGCGAATGACGGAAATATCTATCGCTCTTCAGGAGTTAAATGTCATTTGAATGGCTACATTTTAAATTTTGAGAGTGAGAATGTGAGTGAGTGAGAGCAAATTTGCCTCCGATAATGTAATGGCGAAATTAGCATTTTTAATACAGGAATAATTCGACATTCATTGACCGAACATTTAACCTTACTGTCGGTTGGAGTTTATAAAATCTTTTTCTTCAGTTTTTCAAGAAATTAGACATTTCAAGTCCACTGTCTTCAATTTTTCCAGTATTGATGGGAGTTTCCTTCCTAACCTTTTGTTTGAAGTAAGGAAGAAAGCCAAGATCTGTAACAGATCATGAATTTTCCTTCTCGATACATGTTTAGTTTTAGTTTTTAGTTGTTGCATCTGCTGGAAAAGTTCAAGGGGCTTTTGTTATTTAAAAAGCTCTTTGTTTATGATTTTTTAGCGCCAGTCTATAGGTTCTGATGAAGGATTGTTTTCTATAAGACTTAAAGAATTAATTTGCTTAAAGCTATTTTTAATCATTGGTCCGAGAAAATGTTTGTATACATATTTGGGTATTTCTGAACGAGTAGACGTCATGCATGACATTTATATCTAAATCAGTGATTCTTAACCATTTTTGAGTCACGAACCCTTTTCCTCACGGACCCCTTTAAGAACTTGTCCTTCATAGACAGACAAACATAACCATAGTGTTTTTAGCGAAAACACATCTATATGCATTTCTCCATATCGCACCCTCATGCACACTGCACATACATCACTTTTTCAGCCAGCTTGAAATAAATTAATCATCACCAGTATATGAGAAGATAATCAAGCCGTGATAAACCATAGAAAATGAGAATTTTCACCTGCTCTTATGGAGTGGCAAAAGATGTCGTTGGTGCAGAGAATGAGGACACGCGTTTAAACGGTAAACATCGACCCAACATCAAGACAACAGATGCCTAGGAGTCGGTATGTAAGTGGGTGTGTTTTCTTTCAAACAGTGACAGGGTGCGTTTTCTTTTATTTCTATCAATGGGAAACCATTGATTGGACAAGGGCTCTATAGCAAATATAAATGTTAACTTTTACCTGGTCCTTAATGACCCACTGAAATCCATCCATGGACCCCTAGAAATCCTGGTCTAAATATAACGAAGCTATTTAAGAACATGGCTACAGTTTCAGGTTAATATTTTGCTTTTGCAGCATCACTTTGGACAAATGTATCCCGGGTGCAACCTATAATGTGCCTAATTTTCTAATGTCCTATACTAAATTTTGCTATAACTGATCAGTACACCAAGATACCTGAAATATTTAGAATTTATTGATTATATATTCAGAATTTTGTGACGGATTCGGAATAGGTGCTATCAAACTGCTTTAATGTAATTAAAATTATAGAAACTTCAGGAGATTTTGTTAACAATGTTGTAAAAATCCAGTGTTTAAGCTCTCCACAAATACAGATACATAATCAATACCCCCCGCTATGGTTTAAATAACAGGGATCTTTAGTCTTGGGTGGCGGCTCATCTATGAGAATGGAACAGAAAAAACACTATCATCTTGTTGCAACAGACATAGTGAACCGGAACCAGAGTCGAGAGACGGAAGTGGTTAACGAGACTTGCCTGCCTTCTCGAAGGGAGAGAGTTCGTTTTGATATGGCATGTAGGACTTCAATTTGAGATAAGGCGGGTGTCTCGTTCCGTCAAACGAGACCATCTTGGAGAAAAGAGTTCTGTCGCGGTTCATCGTATGATACGTGCAGTTGTGATCGAACGAACGAAGCGGATACAAGGCAGAGAACGGCGATAAGTACCAAGAAACCGGTGTAGAGGGGAAAAACGCCTAATCTAAAATTGCGTCCCACAACAGAGTCGCTAATTTCTTTTGACCACACTTTTCTAAGACACCATGGCAATTCACAGATAATGAAATGGAATATGTGGAGAGCAAAGATTGAACACGTATTGATCAATTTGTTTTTTTTTTCTACGGCTTATCAACCTTTTCAGGTTATTTAAAACCAGAAAATACTTTTAGATTGTAAGATTCTTTTGGAGATAAGGATTTACTGATACAAGTCCTACCAAGTAACTCTTATCTGGTGGGAGAAGAGGTGAATCCATATTTTTCCCAAGGGTATTTACCCGTAGATGAATATAACGAACCCGACTGGAATTAGAACTCGGCTCTCCGGTTTCTAATTCCGAGTTGACCACGGATTAAAGAGACGTCGATTAAAAAAAAAACAAAAAAAAACAAATCTATAAATCTATGAAGGACTTAAAATTATAGTAATTGTAAAAACAGGTTCACCAATCTCCTTTTCCTCTCTTTTATTCGTTAATTAAGAATTTCTATAATTAAAACCTACACGTAAATGGACGGTCAAGTAAGACCACAATTTTTTAGCAACAAGTGAATGAAATTTATTTACAAAAGCTGCGATGGTTCTCAATCTACAACAATTTAGATTTATAGATTGATTTTGTTTTTACGGCTTATCAACCATTTACAGTTTTTTTAAAGTCAGAAAACATTTTGGGGTTGTAAGAATTTTTTGGAGATAATGATTTACTGATGCACGTCCTACTATTTAACCCATAGCTGAGCTAGAAGAGGCGGATTCATACTTTTCCTAAAAGGTATTTGCGTGTAAATGAATGTAACGAACTGGAACTCGGCCCTCCTGTTTCCAATTCTCAACCGTTATCCATTGCACCAAACGCACATCCAAGCTTACAGCACCTGGCATTCTGAAGGTATCATCTAGGTACTGACCACGCTCAACATTGCTTAACTTCGGTAATCGGACGAGAACCGGTGTTTCAACGTGATATGTCTCTAATCCTTAGTGTATAGCAAATAGTTGATGTAATAAACAAGTTTCAAGTAATGTATTGCCTCGCTCTTTTTTAAGAGTGCGAGTAACATTTTACGCTCACCAAATAATTCACTCTTTTTTTTTCTTTATGATTCAAAAGCGACTTAAAAAAATCATTTCGCATCAAGATAAATGCACTAATACGCAAGGGAGTTACTGAAAGTGAAAAAAAATGTTACTAAAAAGAAAGGACAATAAAAAGAACAGGATTCAAGGAGACAGAAAATTGAGGATTGACGTTGCATTTAAATTTTTGAAGATTGTTGTTGACAAGAAAGTGTTACATTCTCCTTAGAACAAGATCTTCTGATTCATGCTACACTAATTTCCACCGCGACCAAATGTGAACGCTCCGAAACCCAAAACTGAACTAAAATTCCATCAATTGAGCATAGGCTCCGCACATATCTTCTGTTTTTATTCACGCACTCAAAGAAAAATACAATCCAGAATTTCCACCCAATACGAGCCACTCTCGCCTAAATAAACCAAATAAAAATTGGAGCCGATCTGTGCCTAAGAAAGGACATAAAAGCCCCTCACAGGGACATTTTCGTCAGATGGACGGCATAACAGCCGGGATTCACAACGCTCGTCAGAACGCGACCTCCAATCTCCAAAAAACAATTCCACAAAGCCGTCGCCACAATAAGTCACAACTCGATCTCCTCTCCTACCGTACGCCTCTGCGTATGACTTTTACAATTCCATTTATCTCCTTTCAACGAGAGACATTTACATCAATTTATCATTTGTTGTATTTTTACGTTAATACAATTATTTATTTCTTAAACCTTCGTTGTTTCTCTTTTGTTCTGCCACCATAAGTTTAATATAACAAAAGCAAAAAGCCGAAAGTGAGTTTCACAGGGGAAAGTGCGTGAAACGTATAAAAATCGATGTCAATATTTACTAGGTACCGCCACTTTTTCGCAAAGATTTTAGATGCCTAAGGTTTTAAATGATTTTAAAAAAAATGAAAATGCATTCTTGAAGATTTCTTTATAGCTTTAATTGAAAGCTAAAGGATCAAATTGACTATTTCCTGTAGGTAAAATACTCTGGTGTATTTTAATTAGAAATTATATAAATTGGAATGTCAAATATTTGGACGTTTTCAAAAATCTGTTTACTGGCAGCCATTTCTTACATTTTAACAAATTTTAAGATAAAAATTATCGGTTTTAAAAATCTTCCAAAAATAAACTATATATTTGCAACACGTTATTTGAGTAACATTAGCAAATTTAAAGTTAAATTAATTTGATTTGAAACAAATAGTACTTATAGCATAAAAAATAGTATACATGCATTTCTTAACGACGTGTCCTGTTTTTCTTTTGTTTTTATTGACGTATCGATAAGCTCCCAGGTGTTGAAAGCTAGTATGGATGACCAGAAATGACAAATTTACGAAATCTAAGTGAATGCATTTTTTATATTGGTTTTTAACTAACTATTAATTTTAACAAATTAATATAGTTTTAGTAATTATTCAATATTATGACTTTTAGTTACGTTTGAAGAAGCTTTATAAAAAATAAAATTTAAAATACTATAAAATTTTCTTAGATTAATTAAAAAATTTAAATGGGATGAAATACCACGATAGAAGTAATTCAATAATTTATGACCCACACTAAAATAAAAATATTTCGTAGAATGGAAATTACAAAAAGTAAAACTTACTTTAAATTTTAAAGTTTTAAAACTGAAGGATGATGTTCAAAACCTGTTGAAATGTAAACAATGAATAACGAATTGGAGACAATCGAATTTCTGTTAAACATGACCTTTTCATAATAATGTTGCGTATAAACTATCATAGATGAAAAATGGGAATGTCTAAAGTAAAAATAAATTATTTTAAAAATATTGGTGCAAAATGACTTATATTAAGCTTTTCAATTTTTGATTCATTAGTTTCTACTCAATTACAGTATCACCTAAAAGAAATAAGGTTTGAGAGATTTTTATACGATTTTTAAATTATGTTAAAATATTATAATTAAAATTAGAAAAAAAAACTCTTGTATAAATTCATTATTCATTGAATTTTTTTCTTAAGACAATAATGTCCTAAATATAACTCATTTACAAACGCCATTAAAAGCTTTTCTAAGTAGATAGTTTTATTGCATTTTTTTAGTTAACCATTCGGAGCAGCCTTTGAGAAAACGAGCAAAAATTTGAAAAAAAAAAAAAATGGATGATTTACATTCTCCAAGAAGTCCTACTTTTAGATAATAAAAAAAGTTAGAGCATACGATTTAATTTCTCGAAAATTCATGAAAATAAGTGGAGTGTAACATATATAAAAACTATTTTTACAATATTTCAAAATTTCAAAATAATTTCCTTCATTTGTGAATAAGTTCTGAAAATTTCATTAAAATCAGACAATTATTTGATTTTTGCAAGAATTTTCAAATCAATGTGTTTTTCACCAGAAAAATCTCAAAAACACTTAATTATAAAAATTATTTACGTCGTTGACGTAAAAATAACAAAAAAACAAAAACACAGGATTTTTAACCAAAATTTCAAAGGTGTCAGAAAGTTTTAATTTTGTTTTTGGTCTTTTCTCTTAATAATAACAAACATTTTGGCAATAAAACTTTGTTTTTATTAAGTTTGAGGCCTTTTTTCATGCTATACCGTTTTTCTATCGGAAAGTAGACGTGTCTAATATTTACACATGAATCTTTTAAACTTTTAATTGAGAAAGAAACCAAGTTATTTTAGATGCGGTGGTGTAATACATATAGGCGTTGATTAATAAAGTGTTGCTGTCATCTAGGGATGAGAATTACATTTTTTGATCGGTTGGAGAAATATTTTGGTTCTTCAGGAACGAACAAGAAAATTTATTGCATGGAGAAACTATAATAATCAACACATATAAGATATCCTACATCAACTAAAATAAGGGAAACCTGAAGATGACTTGAGGGTATTTGGCCAAAGTGTCTTGTTTATAATAACATCGACAATAAACAAGATAAAGAATTTATTCGATTAAATGGAATAAATCAGAAAAAAAAAATTGCTGATGCCCGGGATAAAATAAAATTCATACCTACCATCAACTGAATTTGTTGTATGGTCTGACGATGGTCCCTGATAAAATGGTAAAGTAAAGTACCAATGTATCTCGGAAATTTCACTTGCGATCACTTTATATCCACATTGAGACCTACTGAAAGAGCATGAAATGCTTTCTACTGAAAAAGAGATGAGAGGGGAAAAATAAGATTCAGTGAGAGGCTATTAAAACTTATTTTATTTTCAAATATTTAACATTAACAGGATTTCAAAAGCAATTTTGGAATTGATCGAATCTAAATTTTCAGTTGTCATCAATTCCAGAATTACGATTTCGTTTCTTTGCAAAATCTAAAAAGGCATTCTTTGTCATTCGTTCGACCTTTTAGAGAACATATTATTAGATAAACCCATTGTCTCTACTGTTTTTTGGTTTTGTCGCGTTAAAACAATAGTATCTTAATTCGAACCCTTCGAGTAAAATTATGGTTGAAATACTATTTTAGGTTTCCTTTTTATGTCTGCATATATTTCTATACTTATTTCTTTTTTCAAATAATATTAAAGCATTAAACTCTTTTAAAACAAATAAAAACTAAGCATTCTTTGAAATTTTATTTCGTCAATTTTTAACGAGATAATCATGTTAATAAGATGGTATAGGAAATAAACCTTTTCCAACACAATTAAACACCCACATACATACCATATTAAAACACACCCAAATTTTATTTTCTTCTTAATAAGCGGCAATACATTTACAAACATGCCAAAAACATTCCGCAGCACAGCACACATCGTTTAAATCAAAGTGCCTATACGTGAAAACTAAATACCCTATTTTAACTAGAGGTTGGTTTCGAGAAAATTTTCTTATAAAACCCCACAGATTTCGACTTTTAGAAGCAGTGATGCAACTGCCTCTAAGCCATTCAAACACAAGAGAAGACGTGGCTACATAGCCTTTTCCTCCCCCTCTACATTCCAGCGGGTGCTGAAAGAAACATGTATCGGTGGCTTCAAACGAATAACCATCTCCAGCAACAATAGCTCGGACGGTCAGTGAATTTTCTCTGACGATCAAAGTCTTTTCTAAACCGTTGATTTTTCTGTGGAAAACTGCCCAAAGATCTAACTCAATTAAAAACTAATTTTTACTGTTTTTTAACTCTTGAAATTATGGACATATATTAGTAAATACAAATAATTTATGAGACCACGTTTTCTTTATTTTTCTTTAATTATTGTTTGGAATTCGGATGTTCGGATATTTAATATAAAAAATCTGAATGACATAAATTCCTAAAATCTGGACAATTTCTTCATGCTAAAAATGATGCGCATGTGAGTTGAGCAGGCGTCCGTCACCAGGCAGACGTGTGTGTTCGGAAATAAATAGAAACCGGCCATTTAATATTATAATTATATAATTATAATGAGACAATAATCACTACAGACAGTTTCTAGATTCTCTTAGCCCCTACAAAAGGTAAACTGTAAGAACATTCGATAAACTGGATAAGAAAACTAATTTTTTGCTATTGTACACTCAAAACAAGACCCAAGTGCCACTAAAGGTAGAGTGTTATTGAACTGGGGTGTTATAAGGACTTATAAACTATTTCAGCTGGCGGGTGAAACTCACATGAGAGGATGGTGTTAACATGGTACCACTGGAGGAAGGATCTCTTTGACGCAGATCACCGGCCAGGACAGAAGGGTTCATCAGATGAACTACAACGGCCACGTGTTCGCGACCAAGGCGATCTACCTAGATGGAGGACATCGGTTGTGATCTAACCGTTAGAGGGATGGGCTCCGCCAGATTAAAACACCCAAGCCACGATGAGCATACCAAAAACCCATTCCCGGAGACCCAGGCTCTGGAACACGATCATGACAGATGGAGGAGAATTGTGGGCAGCTCAGCACGTCGGTGCCCCAACTACCCAAAGACTAAAGACAATTTTTATTCCTTTATGGTTCTTTTGAATTCATATACATATGTTTGTAAATACAAATGATTTATTCAACAGGCACGAGACCATGTTTCCTTTATTTTATTATTGTTGGGAATTCGGACGTTCGCATTTTTAATATATAAAAAAAATATATATATATGTATAATTCTTATAATTCTTTTTCTATCCTTTGCAAATGATTCAAATTTTAGTATGTTATTATGGATGATAACGACTACCAGTTGTCAAAATTTCAGCTTTTCACAGTTGTTATTTCTAACAAATATTATGTTTTAAAATTTTTGTCCCTTAGTTTTAGACGCTATTGTATATATATATATATATATATATATATATATATATATATATATATATATATATATATATATCCTGTAGCTACAAAGGTTTTTGCACACTTCATATATATATATATATACACACGTGTGTGAGAGAGAGAGAGAGACTCGTTTCCCCCTCTGGGGAAGGATCTTTTCACCACTAGCAAACCTAATGTCGGACTGAACACAACTCTAACCTAAGATTACTCTACTAACACAAATATATTTGATAATTCTGCCAAAACAAAAAAGGAACATTTTTCAAGATTTAAGTCTCTCACAGTCTTACGTATGAATTTTGCACATGTACGTACGGCAAAGGACATCTCTACATACATATTTTCAACCGCTTCATTTTCTATTCAGTTTGCACAGGCAATAAAATATATTGTTAATTATTTATACATTCTTTTTTATACTTTCTTTGAAGAAAGTTCAGTGAGTCCACTAACAACTAATATTACTACACGATCTCTTTCACTGTATATATCTTTTCAACAATTGGTAATCACGTAGCACTTTATAATTTAAATCTCAATAGAGGAGTAATTGAAAACTCTTACATTCACAAGGCTTTCTTGAGATATCGATATCATCTATAGCAAAAATACTGGTAGCATTCGAGCCACGAATTGCTTCAAACGTAAGGACGAGATCCCTGTGAAAAAGAAAAAAATTGTGATATAATGCTGGAATAGTATTTAAGCTTGCATAATCAACTTTACTTAGCACAAGATAAATCGTTCTTATAATTCGTCCAAAAATTTCATGATAATAATGCTTCGTCCAAGATAACTTCAGACTCTTAAGACAATATACATTATGAGATTAAATGTACGGACATGTTAAAAGATATCAAAAATAATTTTAGTAGAGAACTATCGATTGCATTAACCAAATACCTGACCAACTGAAAATGGTAAACCCGTATGCTGCTAAAATGTTAAAAAAAAAGAAGAGATATTAAGTTTGCTGTTCTAAATGATTTCTGCACAATAGACACTGAATTACCTCTTTTATTAAGTTCTGACTCATTAGGCGATTATGGTGTGAAATCTGGTGTTTGATGTGACATGTACTGACACCAAAAGTTAAATTCATAGATTTTACCAATTTCTGAGCATTTAGTTTTAAATAACGTCTGAAAAAATGTACAGCAATAACTAATTTTCGTAAGTTTTTGCTTACAAACTGACCTCAAAATTTTACTATCTTAAGAATAAATCCGAATAAAGTTTGGTATCTTATGTATTAGATACATTGAATGCAAAATATATTAAAACCAGAATTCTAATTATGAATCACCACAAGCAAAATATACAATATTTTTTTTTACTTTATCTGATAAGTAAAAACTGTGTAAAAAATGTAAAAGATTACAAAAAAGGCTACTCACTGAAGAAGATTCGTTAGATCATAATTAATAAAAACAAAAAATAGATAAAAATGTATATAACACCATAACACTGCTGAGTACAAAAAGACAAAATGTTATAAATTTGCATTATTTATTGAAAATCACTAACTAACGCCTTTATCCACTGTGCAATGTGTCCTTAAGAACACATGGCACAATAGATAAATCTAATTCAGAACCAACAAGTAAATAGTAAAAAAACAGAACCAGCAAGGATCGAACGCTAGTTTAACATGGGAAGATCGAGTAAATCTCACATGGCTAAAATTCACCTGAGGCTAACATGATTAAAAGGTTTCTTAGATAAAATTTAAATTGGTTAATCTAATGAAGATGTTTACATTTTATACTATTCGACTAATTCTACATTAAATTCAGTCGGTTAAGTGCCATACATAATACACACTTAGGCGATCATGTCTCTTTCGAGTCATGACTTATTAGGCAGAAAATTTGCTGCTTATTTCTACGGTAGACTAGTTGCCAACCAAGGCTATAGGATCAAGTCTGTCCTATTGTTCAATCCATAACTGGGAGAATCAGAGATGGATTCATACCTTTCCTAATGGTATTTTCGCGTAAGTGGGCCTAATGAACCCGACTGGAATTCGAACTCGGCTCTCTAATTTCTAATTCTGAGCTGATATAAGAAATACTACAACTCACATGCCGTTTCGTTTTTGTTATCGATGTCAGCAAAGACGATGACGGAAGCCGACAGCAGACGAGCCTCCCCCGGTCCGGGTTAAATTATAAGGTCCAAATTCTGAAGCTAGAGCCATTTGCCAGTATTACAGGCAACTGGTTTTCAGGCAATGAAAGATTCTTGGGAATTTAAGATTTATGGCAAGAAATTAGTCGGGCATCAATATCAAGATAAAAGATACATTGTCTATTTAAGAAACATGCCAGGGTTGATTAAGGATTTAGAGCACCCGCACACCGTGAAAAGCATTTCGCATGGTCTCACTCACATAGGCGGGATGTAGTAACCCTCTCGCTATTTCACGGAAGTGCTCGAACGAAATACATTTCCTGGGCTCGCCAATTCAAACCTTCACGGCAAGGACACGCCATGGCACTTACATTATAACAAACCACCCACATTCCCTCCGTATTCCATTGCTGGGAAGTAAGTTCCAGTTCAACAACTTCTTCCCGCGAACTTGTTCTGTGGAAACGACTCCAAAATGGATGTTTCCCCGATCACTACAATCTTAACATGTTCAAGGTCAGGGTTAAATTTTCTTCCAATCTTATCTAGACAAATGACCCTAATGTAGCAGTCTACATTACAGTAAAAAAATATTATGATGAACGAACACAGACAATTATTGCACTGCAATATCGTATCAGCATAAAAGATTGCTATAAGCTTCAACAGATATCCTGGTAGTTATTCATATCATTTGAATAAATAAAAAAAGTTACAAGACGCTAAACAGGCATTCGGTCATTATTAATCTTGCGCAAAAATCGAAGATATTCCATTTCAAACAAAAAAGCAAGAGGTCGAAGAACCCTTAACGTCCCGCCACGAATCCACGGACATACAACGAAAAGACAATTTGCCAGTTATCTGTTGAAAAATCACAAACCACCACTATCGGTTATAGCCGTATGAATCGATAGTCGCGGTCCCACGGTCATATAGCTAGTAATGGTGATTTTCTGAGCGTAGCTTAGATCTGGCACAAGGACGGAAGTATGGGCCACCCAGAAAGTATCGAAGTCCCTACTACGTCGTAATTGTTATAGTGAGACAAGCTTGATAACCATTACACCACGTCGAGGTGCCCAATGATTTTCTAAGCGTAGCTTAGATGTGGCACAAAGCCGAAAGTGTGGAGCACTCAGAGAGGATCAAACTCACTACTCGGTCGTAATGGATTTAGCAAAACAAGTTTTCTAACCATTACACCACGCCGAGGTGTCCTCATATGGCTGGTAATGAGAAGAAAGTCAGTTCAAAATTTGGTAGTACTTGGCTTTCAAATGTTGCTCATTTATTTTATAATCCAATCTGGTAATTCTGATTCGATGGAAAGAGTGATTCAAAAATGTCTTCGGAGTATTTACCTTTCCATTATTTATCAGATAGTGATCAAGACAATCGAATGATTAATTATGAGTTATATCTCTTACCTGATTGGTTCACTGATCGTTAAGCAAACGACATGCCAGTCATTTTGTCCATTGCCGTGTTCTGACCAGACAAGCTGACCTTTTTCTCCTGCACCAATGAAAACATTCAAAATCTGGAAGGGGTCACCGTTCAGGTAATATGCAAATGTAAGGCTACCTTTATCAATATCAACTTTGGTTTCATTTGATATTTGGGATCTGTCACCGGGTTTTCCTTTGTTTGAATCAATATACATAAAGTAACCTTTAAAAAGAAAAGAAAAAAATTAGCACATTTTTGCAGTCATCAAAAAAGAACAATGGACATCTAAGAACACGCATTTAAACACGGACAAGAAAACTTTTATTCAAATATTTTGATACAGTAAACCATCGATTTAAGGAATATGGGAACAACTTATGGATCACATGGCCCATAATGAACTGACTTATTTTTTACTGAACGAAGTTAGATAAGTGCTAAAACAAATCATTCATTGTGTAAGATTAATAGGTATATGTCAAAGTTAATTAGAAATGAAAGATCTTGCCGATTTCAGATATTTTAAAGACAATTTTCATTAAATAACAAACCGTACTGATATATATTTCGGTTTAAATTTAAACGACTTCTCTCAGTGAACCTAGAGTGAGTGCACGAAAAAAATCATTGTTATGCTTGCATGCGTGGTTACAGTTTAATCTCTTCCGATATGTACTCATTCAACCCTCGTAGCATAGTACCCGTCAAAAGTGATAGAATTATTTACGTATGACCCTTTGGAAAATTTTCTAAAACTCTGTTATGAGTACAAAGTAAATTACAGCGCAGATTACAGTGAAACTGGCAAGCCAAGTTGAAATTCCGAACGAGTTTTTTATATTCACTTTCCCAGAAATATCCTTGGGAAACGTATGAATCTATTTCTTATCCCTCTAGTTGTGCGTTAAATAGTAAGGTTGACTGGGCTCTCTTGCCTTGAGATGGCAAACAGTGACAATCGCGAAAACCAGCTTGAAGAGGAATGGACTACGTCTTGCCCCAGATACACCAGTGCTTTTGGTGTCTCTATGACTAATTGATTTGTGGAGTTTGCCAGCCACTCAGCCGGACTGCAGCGTCTGATTTACTTCCCGGAAAAGTTTTCATCAAGCCACTGACAAGCATGACGACCATAATGAAGAAGAGCTCCTTCTTGCTGGAAATAACAATCGGGATTCTGTATCCTGGACCAAAATCTGAACGTTTCTTTTGACTCATCCCTATACATTTATTCTTTGAGAGAAACCGAATTGATTTTAGGCGAATAGATTCAAGTAATAAATTGTATTACCAATTAAGACCATTTATATTTGGATTATTTCAGTAAATAATCTGTACTTCCATTAAGTGCAAGCATTAAACCAGCGTTTCTCAACCGAAATTCCCCAGAACCCTAATGTTCCGCAAAAGATCCCCAAAGGGTTCCGCAAGAACAAGTGAGAATGAAATTTAGATAAAGTTCGATCTTGAATCAAGTATTTGTGCAGCAAAAGACAGGCACAGGCTTCACAGTAGAGAAGCATGTTTCACTTTATCAAATGGCTCTTAAAGTAACATTTTCTTAGCCCATTTATTGGTTCACAGGACATTTTGCCTTGATTTACCTTATGTCTTTTCAACATTGCCAGTAAAGGATAAAAAAATAAAAAACAGATGCAGTAATTATCTGTTTTCATTCTGTTTACATTTATATTATAGGTATTTTATGATATTGGTTAATTATGTTTATTTTTTTACGTTTGAGTTTAGAATTTTTTATGTGAATGAAAACTCCCCGATAAACGAACAGTGTGAATTTTATTTAGCATTATCGAAAAATCTGACAAAGATGTATTCAAAAATATATACTATGAACTATAATATATACTACGATGAAAATAAAATGAGAAAGATATACTATATAATTTTGTTTTTTGCGAAAGGGTTCCTTGAGAGATAATTTATTTTAAGGGTTACGCAAGGATAAAAAGGTCGAGAAACGCTTCATTAAATAAATAAACTTTCAGATTTACCTGAGTAAGGAGTCTGCTTGTAGTTGACTGTATTGTGATAACCCTGTGAATATTGCCATTTATAAGTGGACGTGCTGTTGATGGCAAAACTACAATTATTAAGATAAAAGTCACAGAAGAAAATATCTGAAAAAGAAATGAATTTTATATTATATTTATATTATACAGAAATTGTGGCACATGGCCAATGGAGCGAGATATAGGGGGGTTGTCTTCCTTAGCTATCTTAGTCCTAGTTAATCTGACTCACGACCCATTCATTCATAACTCATTCACCACAAGAACTTATCCATCACCTCTCAATCTTAAATAAACCAAAATACCGTATATTCGCACGTGACCTACAAAACACCCCATGACATAAAAATTACATCGTCCATAAAGTGCAAAACAGTTTGATACTGTCGGAATCTTACTTATTATAAAACGCAGATTGTGTGTGTGTGTGTGTGTGTGTGTATCTGTCTACGTTTATATATTGGATCGGATTTCCTACATTTTTCAACTGATTTCAACAAAACTTCACAGGACTGCGTAAAATTACCTTGAGGTGGTTCTGACAGCACCAAAAATTGGAAAAAACACAATTGTTTTTGCATGAAATCAATTTGAAAACACGATAAAACACAATTCTGTCGCCAGAATGAAAGGGGGACAACTCATATCGAGTTATACTTATAAAACCCAGGTTGTTTGTGTGTGTGTGTGTGTTCGTTTATATATGGGATCGGATTTCCTATATTTTTCAACCGATTTCAACAAAACTTCACTTTTTTTTTGGCAGGTAGTGTTTCTTATTGTCTTGCACACTTTTTCCTTTATTTTTACATTCAGAATGCTTTAAAAATTTCATTTACAAGACAATTGTTTATAATGAAATTCTATTCAATCGATAGACTCATAACGATTGAAAACAATGTTTTTGTTCGAGTTTGGGTTTGACCAGTTCGTAAAAAAAAAGAACAAAAAACAAAAAAAAACTAATTAAGACATGCGTGTCCGTCAACCTTAAACAATAATCTTTGTCAATTTTATTTTTCAGTCTTTTTGATGGTCGATACTTGATCTCTCTCTTACTGTTACATCCTCGGGAAACGCCGGGCTCTACTGCTAGTCATTAAAATAATCCTAACAAGTTCTTTCTCATTCTGGCGGTTTGTCATACACTGCAAATTAAAAACTAACAAAAGACTGTAAGAGAAATGAAAACACGATATTCAAAATCGGCTTAATGTTAATAAAATTGTTTTTCGAGCAATGAAAGTTTTTTTTTTTAAATTAATAACATCTGTTCAACTTTTATAGAGACCGACAACCACCCCAACACTTTTTTTTACGAAACCAGATACAGAGGGACCCAGAACAGCATAGAATCTGTCACGATGTTAACGTTTTACTCTTACCACAATAAGAAGAAACCTGATATTAGCTAATATCAAGGGGAAACGACTTAATTGCCAGTTGGTAACCGTAAGAAAAAACTTTTGATTTGATTTTCATTCATACACTATTTCTATTTGATACTTTCAAAACAACTCAAAAACTTTAACTAAATTGAAAGTATATATCGTCAGTTTCGTCGTGCTTGAAATAAAATTCCCTAATCTGTTTTTCACCAAACAGCGCCGCGCAAGCTAAACAATCCACCACACGTGTTTCCAGTTCTCTACCCAAAATCGCAATATTTATTATTGTGAAGATAAAACAATTGCGGCACAAGGCCAAAAGGGGAAGTGGGGGTGGAGCTGGTCATCATTAACTATCATATACCTAGCTAATCCGATACACGATCCATTCATTCATTACAAGTAATTCATTCACCACAAGTTGTCCTTCACCATTCACTCCTATATATACCACAATACCTCATTCTCACAGGGAACGTACACAAATTTCTTTCTTTCAGATTTCTTTCTTGTGTAATTCTGCGCCCATGCTCACGTTTTCGTTGGGCATCTTGTTTAACCTATGTCTAACTACCTGACTCTGGTAGTGCGTGCGCCTGAGCTTGCCTAGCTAAACCTATCTCTACAGACTATCCTTGAGAGCCCTCACCTTTTTAGCCTTATTTAGTGCCAGCCGCTGGTTATATTCGATGGTGAAGGACCTAATCCTATCCTTAAGCCTCTCCCACCACCTAAACTCAATAACCGTCCAAGAGTTCCCGTTGAACGCGTCTAATCAACTGTTGCTAGTAGTCCCGCTTGTTCAGTAAAGACAGATTGAACTTCCAGTGCCCAGCCACATAGGTAACTATGGAAAATATATTATAAAGAAATTAAAATAAGACTGTTAAGAGTGAGATTAAATTTCGTATTTCATAAGAAATGTATCTAATTAATTTATAGGTACTTTTCTTATGAAGTTTTGTCAGAAGTGTACATAAAATACTATAATTTTATGCACATTTATTACATTTTACTGTGTTATTTGTATTTCCATTCATTTTATTATTAATTTTGATATTTCATCAATGGAAAAATGTCATAACTGAGATTAATACAAAGATAAGATCATATAAATTTCATACGATGATACTGATACTTGTAGGTACCCTTCTCAGTTGAAATTGAAAAATCAAATTAACTTCTCCACGCGTGTTTCGCAAAAGTAAAGGCCTTAACAGCAGAGAACATTGCTTAACTCAAATAACGCAACTTAATTGTATTCTGGTTGGTCTCCCGTATAGCCTGATTATAAATACAAAATTACATTTAATTACTGTGGGTCTTCTGATTAGTCAAAATAATACAATTTACAACGCGCTAAAAAAGATCTATCTCATAAGGAGACTTAGGAAACCCGATGCGGCTTTTGACTAATTTTATATTTTAACAACTTAAATGTAAAAATCTATTATAATTAAGAAATAACAAATAATTGTATTAAAAATTCATTTTTCATCGAAAAAATTTTTTGCTTTCAGAAAATATTGTCCATATTCATAAAAAAACAAGTAAAAGTAAATAAAAGCATTTGAAATTAAATAATATCTTTGTTTTATCGAGTTTTGTATGTTACAATTCAGAGCTGATTTTCAGGTGTGGAGGGTCCAATTAAAAAAAAAAACATGATTTGCATTCCTCAAAGATTTGTGCTTTTAACTATTGTAATTACTAAACTCGATGCGATCGAATTTCTAGCGTTTTCATAAAACTAGTTATTGGGGGTGGGTAATAAATATAAAAAAATATTTCTGCTATGACTTTAATAAAAAAAAAACACACATTTATAATAATTTCGACCATCTGTGAATAGTTCCTGAAAGTTTCATTAACATCCGACAGTTATTTTTATTTTTGCAAGATTTTCCAAATTAATGTGTGTCGTACCAAAAAATCGTACTAAAAATTGTATATGTTATTTACTAGTTCCGGTGATACAAAGAGAAACAATGTTTATTTTTTTTTTAATCAAAATTTAGAATGTTCTAAAAAGAAGGAAATTTTTTTAAATAATTAAAAAAAAAACTTTGATCTTTCCTTTTAATAATAACATAAGCATTTAGACGATAAAATTTTGTTTTCGTCAAGGTTGGCGTCTTTTTCATCAAGCTATGCTCTTTTTTAGCGATTTCGTGGAGGTACCTAGCTTAGCATCTAACTAACCAGGCACAGACGAGTCTATGGTCCGAATAGACTAACCAGCGAGGCAATCTAGCGATTCTACATCGGCCCTTCTCACTAACATTCTATCCAGGTAGCTGGATACCTGGGTAGATGGCCACTTAATTGCACACATCCACATCTTCCGCCCAGAGTGATCGACTTGGTATCTATCGACGAGACCAAACTCGCCAATCAGATCAACTAGTCTACGATCGCCTAACCTTCCGTTAGCTATGTTGGGGTCCAGGATGGTATTCTAGTCGCCCACTAAGACTAAGCCCGAAGAATCAACCAAGAAAGGCCCTATCTGACGGAAAAATGAAACACGCTTCCTCTGATCGTTGGGTGCATAATACGCAACGAACCGAAACGAACTATTGTTCACGGCAATATCGTCCACGACCAACCGCCCCCGCGTCGACATGGACAAGGTCCACTCTCGCATCCAGAGCATGTTTAACTAGCAAGGAAACACCTCTGGCCAGCTGGTCTCTGTACATTGAATAGACAACACAGTCGCTAGACAATACACGAGCATCAACCTCGCAAACAAAGTATGTTTTCTGAATCGCAGTCACATTTACGCCGAAGATCACGAAGCAGGTGGGCACACTTACTCCGATCCGTCAAGCTCCTCGCATTTAAATTCGCTATCTTGAGAAACATTTTCCTAGTCGCAGACTGGACGGAAATCTGCGGATGAAAGGACCCCGACGGATTGTCCTAGGCTGCCTGGCCCCATCTCTGTTGTCATGCGACCATCCAAGACAATGCTGCCGACGTCCGTGGGATACGTGAGATTTAGGACCCTATATAATGAAGGCTGGAGAATAACATGGATCCTCCTTGCACAAAATCTATGTAATTTTTAAAAATCCGGTGTACCCATTTCCACTATACGGATCTCCGGAAAGGCGTCCCGCGTCTCAGAAAGATGGTTCCATACTTTCAAATCTCTCCCTGTGTTACGGATCCACGTAATCACCCCTGCGTCCTTAGGAAAATTCCGAGGATCTTCCTCCGGCCGGCCGACCGTCCACGGAAGAAGTTTTAAAGAGGGGTCTTAATAGGGCTCTCTTTTGCGACGAGAGGTCACGTTCCAGGGCCTGTCTGTCTAATTGACAGGACTCCCCCTCCCCGGGATACTGTTTCTTCTTTTGGGAAGTGCTATTGTGAGGGTTTTAGGAGGATAGATGTTGAAAAGAGGAGTACTGGGAGAAATGGTGTTGTACTCGGGTGTATTGAGTGGAGGTGTGTTGGAAGTAAATGTGTGGTGAGAAGAGGGTGCTGGAAAGGAGTGAACAGTGGAGATTTAAAAGGGAAGAAGAGAGGCCGCTTATTTTAATTGGTTTTTCATTTTTAGCTGGTGAAGCAGGGACGGATTGAGTCTTAGTTTTCTCCGTGGTCTTCTCCGCCCTACTTCGACCTGCTAGTTTTACGTTCTTTAAATTTATTCTTTCTTTTTCCTCTTCCTTTTTCAAAGATGACGACCGAGTTGGGGGGGGTGCATCATTTCCACCTTTTCGCTATGTAGCTGCTCTGGATGGAGTTCCTTCCACCGCTTCTTATGCAGCTCCCCCTGTTGCTGCCTTTGCTGACTCTACTGCTCAAGTTGGGGGGGCTTCTTAACATTTTTCTACTGCTTCTGGCATTTTGTCTATTACTGGAAAGGAGGAGGTTGCCATTTTTCTCCCTTTTTTAACACTTCCGTCCATCCTTCTGAAGCTTTGGTCTTGTCTGAGCTTTATTTATTGGGGCGGGAGGTTGCGGTTCCGGTCTCTTTCCAGGACATGCTTTGAATAGATGACCAGCGTCTCAACAAGCCCAGCAGTGAGGTCGGCGCTTTCTACAATTACATATATCGGACGTCCTCCACACATCAACGTATTTGGAATTTCCATGAAATTCTTCCAAGTGACAATTACCCAGATTTCAACATCTCCCCGGCTTTGTTTTTGATGGGCGAGACATCGGAGACCTCCCCAAACTTGGCAAAGAAAAAGACCAAGTTGTCCTCTGATATGTACATGTACAGTGGTACTCCATGCAGAGGGACTTTGTTTTTCTTCTTCCTAAATATTCCGTTTGGGACCTCGCTGCTTTGGTCGTGAGGATGCTTCCAGACAGTGCTTTTGCTGCGTCTTCTCTGGCTAGTAGGACATCCCACATTATTTCTTGCTAATATTTTCACTCCAATTTTTCGTCTTGTAGGGCTTCCTCCATCATTTTCCTGTTGACGCCAATTAATTTAAGTGTTTTAATGTCTTGTCAACAGAGAAGCGGTTGTGGTGTTTAGTGTTTCCAGAAGTGATGGCACCGGTAGCAGTTCATTTCCATTAATAAAATTTCCATAGTTTTTTTTTTTAGTCCCTTGTAATACTAGGGTCCTTTTTGTGGGGACCTATCCGTTGCTCACGCCGAAGGGGCTGCTTCAGTGGCTGTCGAGTTAAGAGGTTGGGATTCCACCATAATGTTAGCGATCCCATGACACCGCTTTCAAACAAAATACAGACCAACAAAAATAATTTACAAAATTCAGGCTTAAACAAAATTGTCACAGTTACTTTTTAACAATCGCGCTTAGAATAACTGACGTGAAATATACGCTACACAAAAATCTCACTGCTATGTCGCCTCGTCAAGCACTTTTTGTAGCTAGAGTGACAGGTCAAATTTGTATAGGTGCAAAAAATAGACTCGCAAAACGAACCCGACTTTGACATCTATCGTTTCTTAAATATACGACTCATAAAGCTGCCATTTTCTTTTAGAAACACTTTACACGCAAGACACGTTCGAACCCGCCTTCTAGCAAGAGGTAAGCCATTTTCTCACGTGTTACAGTATCTGATTTCAGGCGCATCAATCCCACAAGTCGAATTTATGCAAAAATATATTTTCTTCCTTACACACAAAAGAAAGGAACATTTCCAAATGAAATGTAATGCTACCATTTTCTGTATCGAAATTTTTAAAATCCTAAAACGAAAATGTACGTAAATAAGTTTGTTACGATATGTTCATGCAAATTGCTTTTCAATTTTTGCCATCCGACTTGAAATATCTGAAAGTCTCAACTCAACAAGGCCTATTTCTCAAACTTAGAAGACGTACACCGAGCAAAAGCTCGCGGCCTTCTTCCACTTAAATCATCAGTTTAGCAGAAACTTCGTAACCGCCCCATTAAAATACACTAACCGACAATGTCAGAAAGCAAGAATAAAGTAAGATTTCTCAACAATAGGAGCAATTTATTTTAAATAATTTTGGGGTTAATTTGCAGTTTAGCACCCGCGCTCAGTTCGCATAAAAATTCCCAGAATACTTACATTTATGAGTAATTGTAAATGCTTCATTCGAATCTGGCTTGATAAACTTGATAAAAATCTACGGTTTTGGAGTTATCGTTAGTAAAATTTCGGATTCATTGGCGTCGTTGGCGGCAGCTATTACTGGCGTTGTTTGAATACATTCGCCGCGGAAAGCTAAGCGCGGATGGGGACGTAGTTAACGGCTTTGTTTACTGATCTTGTTTCAACTTGTCTCAATTACTGCGCAATATCAAGACAAGTGAATAACCCACATATAGTTGTTCCGCAGTAAATGTATGCAAACAACGACAGTAATGGCTGCTCGCGACGCGAATGAATCCGAACTGAAGTCATCGACGGTAACGTCGATGACTTCAAAACGGTAGATTTTAAAGCCAGATTCGTCTGAAGCATTTACAATTACTCATAAATGTAAGTATTCTGGAAATTTTTAATGCGAACTGATCGTGAGTGCTAAACTGCAAATTAGCCAATTTCTGATTTCATTAAAACGTTTATCGCATAACTTTTTTTTTAATTACCGTAATTACCGGTGTCAACAATGCCATTTTTCCTGAAATAGATCTAAAAAATAACATAAGAAATTCTGAGATAGATAACCTTCCGCTATGATTAGCATAGACCTACGAAAAGTTTACCTTTCGTCCTCAAGGACGCACGATAATTTTTTTTAGACTTATTTCAGGAAAAAATCTGCGTTCTTTATGCCAGTAAATAGAGTAGTTATTTTTCAGTCTGATATTCCAATTCATCAAGTCAGTTGAATTGGCTAGATGCAACCGTAAGTTCTACACTAGCAGTTTCTTCTCTCGCTTGTGGAACTCAGTTCTGGTCCCATATTTTCCAGCCAATTTTGATCTTCAAAAATTTAAAATGCAATTGTAATCGTTATCTACTGTTTTTTTTCTTCTTTTTTTATTACTCTTTCACACTCAGTAACCCCTTTTCTCAGTGGCTTTACAGCGTTGATTGGAGTGAAATCATGAACAAAAAGTTTCATATAAATACTAATAGTATTAATGGTAATGACCCATCACGATCTTAGATAAAAAAAAAAAAACTCTGTGCTCATAAACATGCAGTGCTGTTCGATAAAAGTGACTCATCTGATTTTTTTACTAAATGTTCTCTTCGATGAAACGAAAGTTGAGCTAAATTCAAAGGATAAGCAATCTAAAATCCGAAGAAGCTTTAAAAGCTCTTTGAAGTTAGCAGTAAGTACTGTCAAGAATCTGTTCAGTATAATGTTCTGGGGATGCTTTTCTTTTCATGGAACTGGTTTCTTAAAACCTATTGAAAAGACCCTCAGGAGCGAGCAGTGCAAGAGAATTTTAGAGTCTTGTCTGCTCCCTTCTGCTGAAAGGGTGCAAATCGACCCCACCAAGCTTATTTTTATGTCGGATAATGCTCCCTGTCACAAATCAAAATTGATGAAGGAATACTTTGATGAGAAGCAGGTGAGTGTTATGACATGGCCACTCCAATCTCCTGACCTCAACCCCATAGAAACATTATGGAGCATTATAAAGTACAGGCTCTCGAGAAAGCAGTTGAGCAACAAAGAGGATTTGATTGCGAATTTCATATCCGAATGGAATTGAATGCCTGGAGATGAGATTTGCCAGAACCTAATCAAGTCAATGCCAAAAAGGGTTGAAAAGGTTATTCAAAATAAAGGAGGACCCATAGATTATTGGATATTTCGAACTATATTACCTATTATAAATAAATTATACCTCTATTTTTCTTTATTTAAAGCTGTTCGGTTATGTTTCTATTAATTACTAGTTGCAGGAAATAAGTGAGTCACTTTTTTGCACAGAGTTTTTCCCTAAATCTCATTACTATCGAAAATTATAATTATCAATAGAATACCTTAGGCTGAGTAAACTTTTTTACTAGGTGGTCGGGAAGGGGTCTTTATATTAGTAAGATTAAAAATTAGTTTGACCCAAAAAGCAATAGGCGGAAATATTTTTAATTAAAAACAATCAGGTTAGTCACTTTTATCGAACAGCACTGTAGCTCAAATACTTAGAAAAATTCTCATATTCTAATATTCGCAGTAACAAACCTTTTTTTTTTTTTTATCTCCGATAAAAGACTTGAAGGATTGTATCAAACAGAAAATCAGAAAAACTAGAAACAATAATAATTGCCATTCTACTCACCATATTTAAAATTGCATTTAATATGAAGGTCTTCGGCATGATTGCAGTTGTTTACGCCGAATTCATTATGGCGGCAATCAAATATAGAGGATTCGTTGCCAAAGCACTGAACGTCATCAAGCCAAATGATTCCACTTATGAGTTTCAAATTAGGTAACAAATAACCTTCCCTGAAAGAAGATAATTATTAATATAACAATACATATTTATATATGATAGATTTATTAAAAATCTGTCTCTGATGAGCGTTTCGATGCGAAATTCTTGAGTCGGCTAACTTGGAGTTTTAATTTATCGGATATTTTTTCACGTATTTTCTCAGTTGTATTATTATTATTATTATAATAACAATATATAAACATCATAACATAGGTCATTAATCAGGGCCAGTGTAAGAGTCTTGGCCCCTCTCACTCTACTACATCTCAATTTTCCTAAGGTAGTATTCATATAAAAATGTTATTGTAACCTAATTATGTACAATAATAGATCATATGTAAGATAGGTGAACAATTCAACTCGAAAAATTGAAAATAAATACAATGTATCTAAATACAAATTAGTGACATGTCATAATAGATCATTCCATCTTAAATCAACAATATTTTGCGGCAATTTTTAACATCAAATTGAGATTTTTTTTTTGTTAAAAAGTTGAATACTTTTAACACATTCAATATTATGGATAAAAAAATAGTGAATTTTATGTAGTGTTTTTTTTTTTTTTTTAAGATTTAACATGAGAAAAAGAAATTCTCGGATTTGGACGGAAAAATCCCGAATTACGTCAAAATCAGTAAAAATTATTCATCCATTTGTACTTAGTTTAATTTATAATATATATAAATGTAGGTAGAAAAAAAAAGCAAATGTTGATAAGATAACGATGGTCACAAAGCACCCCCCCCCCGGGATCCCAATAATTCTTCTTTTATAAAGTCATATTACAATTAATATATAATTTGGGGATCCATCACCTAGACCGTTAGCAAACGTGTACGAAATGATATATTCCATGAGACTGGGTTTTAATTCAGAGTTGTCCTTCTAGACTGGTCACCCTAGCAAAGCTAAAATATTAGTCTGCACATTCACTTTTTAGCTAGGGAAGAAGTAGATTCATGCCTTTCTTAAATGCCCTTGCAGAAATTTGAACTCGGCTCACCGATACCATTTTCCTCACCAATAACCATTAAGTTCAAATTATGATAAAGATATTACTGTAAAGCGTCAAGCGTTTTTCGTATATACTTGTTTAATTCACAGACAATTACGATAAAAAAAAAGAACAGAAATGTAAATGTATGGCATCCATAAAAACTGATTTACACTGCGTGCGAACACATTGTCATCAAGATAGAATCATTGTATCAAGAACAACAGATATTGTCAGCGAAGATGTTCTGAAAACGTTTTTAGGTCTTGAAAATTTATAAATGAAACGTCTCGATTTGTTGGTAAAGTACTCTTTCCAATTGAAAAAATAATTTACAACAAAAAGGAAATACAATTCTACCAAATCATAAATGCGTTAGAAAGCGAGAGGATGGAAAAGAATATTAGATAAAAAAAAAAAAAGAATATCCCGTATTAAAAGCTGCCAGATGAATGGAAAATGACTTACTTGAAGCCTAACTGTCTACAGATTACAATTACTACTTTATTATCCAACACGTCGTCGCATACAGTACCCCATTTTCCTCCATGAAAAACTTCCACTCTTCCGGAACGATAACTAATTCCATCAACCAATCGTACTTTGCCATCAGCTAAAATTAAAATAAGAATAGAAATAAAAATTTAAAAAAAAATGTTAAACTTGTTCATTTGTCTAATAAAAACTACTCAGGTGAGTGTGTGTATATATATATATATATATATATAAGAAGAAGAAATATACCCTTAAACTGTGCTATATTTATGGGATAAGCGTGTGTAAATATAAAAGCGAACATTGAAGTCAACACTTAGAGGCGACAGTCTGTTTCATGCTAGACGCAATCATCATGTCCTTTCTCACTTCAATCTTCGACTGTGTGCTATATATATATATATATATATATATATAAAGCACGCAGTCGAAGATTAAAGTGAGAAAGTGCATGTATTGGTCTTCAGTCACTTCTTAAACATTTCTTCAATAATGTTGTAACCTAGGAAGGGTTACTGAATGAGGAATAACCAAAACGGAGGTTGGAAATGAAATGGGAATCTTTATAACATCAACAAAATACTATACTCGCCAGCGGCGTGAAGTAGGTAACCCACTGCTAGTGGTGAACTACTTAGACAGCATATTACGACTCCCTCCCACCCACACGCACGCACTTAGAATAGTGCCCAACATGTTCATGAGGATTGGTATATACCCATTAGTGTTCATAGCTACGGTCTATAACAAATAATTATATGAAACTAAATATATTTATAAAAATTCTTATGAGTCAGTAAGTCAGCCTGTCAAAAATAAATAAATAAATAAAAAAGAGCAAATAAAAAATGTGAGAAAATATGGAAGTAAAACATTAAGAAGTAAAAAGAGCAACAACAACAAAAAAATAAACAAAAATTTCCTCATCGTTGGAGAACGTTATTTTTCTCATCTGACGAAAAGAAATGGAAAAATAGTTAAAATAAATTATATTACATCTTGAACGTGATTTTTTGTTTTTCTTTAATTTTGAATGCATGATTTTTCAACATTAAGGATAAAAAATAGTGAATTTTATATAGTTTATTTATTTATTTTTTTTTAGACTTAACACGAGCAAATCAAATTCACGGATTTGGACGAAAAAACAAAAACAAACCTAAAACGATGTCAAATCCGCGAAAAGTTTTCATCCTTTGATAGTCGGCTGTATTTAGTTTAATTTGTAACGCATATAAAATTAGGAGGAAAAAAAGCAAATATTGATAAGATATTGAGGGTCAAGAAGTACTGCCCACAGCCCTTAATCAGGCTTTCACCCACAGTCGGAGAGTTCCAGGTGTTACATATCGACCTTGAGAATATGTCTACTTTTAAACATTTACATAAGGGTGGTAAATCAGTGTTTGGTATTCAAAATTCGTTTGAAACAAATTCCTTTTATTTTTGACATGCCTGGGAAGTTCAGATCACTCCCTAGTCAGTGTCAAAAATGATGTTAAAACCAAAGGAAATAGAACGATCTTTCGGTACATGAAAGCAGACTGGAACAGTTTCAGATCTTCCATGGTGGAAGCTCCTCACTCAGCCTTCTTCAAACACTGCCTCCAAAACTGCTGCCTCGTACCAGAATAGGTCTTCATTGGAATTAAGTTTTATGCCCCAGAAAAAATTCCAGCAGAAAGCGAACAGTCAGCCAGCCCTGGTGCCATAGCTCATTGTAACGACTACTACAATAACTATCACAGGGAGGGGTGTAGTAGGACACTCGCTGCATTCAAAACTGCAGGAAACCGTTGCAAGAGAATTCTAGAAAATGCAAAATGTAGCTATGCTAGACGAATTCAGGCCAAAGTCGAAAGCAAACAAATTTGATCCCGGAATTTCTAGAAGATCTCTAACCAGAGGTAAAGAACCGTGCCTTCAATTATAAATGGCCTCGAGATCATCTCAACCTCGTAGGACAAGGCGAAGCTCTTCGCCTCGATATTTGCTTCAAACTCAACGTTAGATGACAAAGTCTATCTCCTTCCTGACTTCCCGTGTCTCATTGAGCACAATCTCAGTAACATTTTCATTACAGCCCAGTAAGTCTTAAGACTTATCAAAACTCTTGGCTAGTCACATTCAATGCCTCAAAGACCAAACTAGTGACCTTCTACCTTCACCGATCGGACCCTGAAGTTTCACCAATCGCGATGAATGGATACTTCTTCAGGGATCCCCCCCTGCCGTGACCACCTATTGGGACTTAAACTCAACCAAGATCTCAAGTGGAACTCGTATATACGATCCATCGCTAAGGATGCTGGGAGAATGGGCGGTTCCCTATACTTCTCCAGCAAGTACCTCACACCTCCCAATATTCTCTACTTTTACAAGAGCCAGATTAGACCGAAAATCGAGTACTGCTGCCATACATGGGCAGGAGTTGCCAAGTTTTCACTTTAGTAGAGTTTAAAAGCGTCTCCGCGTGCTTGCAGGCGACGAATTATTTTCCACTCTGCAATCCCTTTCTCACAAACGAGACGTCGCATGCCTCTCACTGCTCTATCGCTATTTCCATGGTGAATGTTCAAATGAACTACACTCTTTAGCTCCAGCCGTCCTAACCTTCATGGCTAATACCCGCCATGACACGCACATTGTAGTGAACCACCCTAGTTACCTTCATATCTCCACCTGGTGAGTTGGAAGTTCCACTCAAGCAGCTTCTTCCCACGAACCGCTTCCTTGTGGAAACGACTCCCAAGAGGATGCTTCTCCAATCACTTAACGGCTAATCATAGACTTGAACAGGTTATCTTCCGCACATATCTGCATAAGCTGCACCTCTTATTCTATAACCCCCTACACAGAGAGGTCCCAACAACTGCAAAAAAAAAAATATTAATTTTGTTGTATATATATATATATATATATATATATATATATATATATATATATATATATGTGTGTGTGTGTGTGTTCTCAAGATACAACTTAAATTGATTGCGGTGCTACGTATCGTTTAAGGAGCATATTATACCTTGAATCCCTGCCAAATGCAGTGGCAAATTTAATTACAATTAGATAAGCAGTTCTTGAGCAAAGGTCGTTCTTATGTTTTTATGACATTTTTAATAGGAAATTCAGTATTTGTTTTCGATGCACATTCTTATATGCGTATATAAATAAACACTTGTTTATTATATTCCAACTATTGTGTATGTGATAAATAATAAACATGTACAATATCTTATAACAACATTATTAAATATATTTTGATATGCATAACGCAATATATATAATTCACTACATTCGAACATTTTTTATAAACAACAACTGGAAAGGTGAAGAGGCTATATATATATCACATGACTAAATAAATAGATACACGCTGAATTGCTACCGTTAAGTATTTTGAAATAAATGCGAGGAAGAAACAAGTACGTATAATAATATACTTATTTTGAAAAAGTCTACACCTGTTTTAAGGTATTACACCAAATGTTCACACAATATGTTAACTATGAAGCTCAGTGGAACAATAAACCTTCTTTTGCCGTCTTCAGTATTAATTACTAATTTTGTATTCAAAGTACATTTTATGGAAGAAATTTCTCTTTTAATGTAAAGAAGTAAAACTAATCTCTACTGACATATTTAAAATCAGAATTTACATTAAGGGATTTTTGATACTTTTCATTCGTTTTCGGATTAGGAAAATGTTTTACTTAGGTACCTCCACCAAATCAACTAAAAAAAAAAGCATAGCTTGATGAAAAGACGCCAACCTTGCCGAAAACAGTTTTATCGTCTAAATGTTTATGTTATTATTAAGAGGAAAGACCAAAGTTTTTTTATTTTTAAAAATTTTTCCTTCTTTTTAGAACATTATAAATTTTGATTTAAAAAACCTTGTTTCTCTTTGTATCACCCGAACTACTAAAATAAACAATTTTAAGCACGTTTTTTTTTTTTTTTGTATGACACACATTAATTTGGAAAATCTTGCAAAAATAAAAATAATTATCGGATGTTAATGAAACTTTCAGGAACTATTCACAGATGATCGAAATTATTATAAATATGTTTTTTTTTTTTATTAAAGTCATGGCAGAAATATTTTTTTAATATTTATTACCCCACTCCCAACTAATTTTATGAAAACGCTAGAAATTCGATAGCATCGAGTTTAGTGATTACAATAGTTAAAAGCAAAGGCTTTGAGGAATGCAAATCATGCTTTTTTTTTGTTTTTAATTGGACCTCCTACCTGAAAATCAGCTCTTAATTGTAACATACAAAACTCAATAAAACAAAGATATTATTTAATTTCAAATGCTTTTATTTGCTTTTAGTTGTTTTTTATGAATATGGACAATATTTTCTGAAAGCAAAAAATATTTTCGATGAAAAATGAATTTTTAATACAATTATTTGTTATTTCTTAATTATAATAGATTTTTACATTTAAGTTGTTAAAATATAAAATTAGTTAAAAGCCGCATCGGGTTTCCTAAGTCTCCTTATGAGATAGATCTTTTTAGCACGTTGTAAATTGTATCATTTTGACTAATCAGAAGATCCGCAGTAATAAAAAAAATGTAATTTCGTGTTTATAATCGGGCTGTAATTATAAAGTACGGAAGACCAACCAGAATACAATTAAGTTTCGTTATTTGAGTTAAGCATTGTTCTCCGCTGTTCAGGCCTTTACTTTTGTGAAACACATGTGGAGAAGTTAATTTGATTTTTCAATTTCAACTGAGAAGGATACCTACAAGTATCAGTATCATCGTATGAAATTTATATGATCATACTTTTATATTAATCTCAGTTATGACATTTTTCCATAAATGAAATATCAAAATTAATAATAAAATGAATGGAAATATAAATAACACAGTAAAATGTAATAAATGTACATAAAATTATAGTATTTTAAGTACACTTCTGATAAAATTTCATAAGAAAGGTGCCTATAAATTACTTAGATACCTTTCTTATGAAATTTAATCTCTCTCTTAACAGAGTTATTTTAATTTCTTTATAATATATTTTCCATAAAGCATCGTGAACGTAAAGGTGAAAGCTAAATACAAAAAAAAAACATTAGAACGCTGAAAGTTTTCCTTAATAATAACGAGGTAAATAATTTGTTCACGTAAATGTAAATTATTTCACTTTTCTCCTTCCGTAGAACAAATTAGCCTCACGGAATCCATCAATATGTCATTCATCACCTGTCAAGTGACGCGAAAGTTTATGACCTGCTTTGTTTTATTTTCAAATTACATCTTTTTGGCACAAAAGCTAAGTTAAGCTTGGTTCAAAATATTTTAAATAAATATTATAACTTCTGATTTTTTAAAAATAAGTTTTGAAAAAATGATAATTGATATTTAAAAGAATTTCAAAGTCAGATTTCCAGTTTTTTTTATAAATTGGAAAAAAAAATGGTCAATTTTGCTGACTCAAAAAAAAAAAAAAAAAAAAAAGATTTTTAACGAAAATTTCGGACGTGTCAGGAACGATTAAAAAAATGTAAAAAAAATACCCTCAAAACACTTTGATCTTTCTTTTTAGACGATAAAATTTTGTTTTCGTCAAGTTTGGCCTCTTTTTCATCATGCTATGCTCTTTTTTAGCAATCTCGTGGAGGTACCTAGCTTTACTTATTAACTAATAACTAATTAAAAAAATATAATTATTATTTTAAAAAAAGACTACACCTGTTTTAACCTATTACTCTAAATTTTAACGGAATGTGTTAACTATGAAGCCCAGTGGAACAATAAACCTTCTTTTACCATCTTTAAACACAAATTAAAATGTGTTTTTAATAATAAAATAGATAATATTGTTATCTCATCAGTTTGCATCATGAACTGCTTTTAAAAGAAATCCAACGGGTTTATGGGTGGTCTAGTATCTTAATAAAATGTAAGATTGCAAGGTTATATTAAGGTTTTGTGGACGCATACGAGAGAGAATGGGGTCGTTAATGTATATATGCTTAGCCGACGGATGATTTGTATCTAAGTGTAGTAGCTACCGCTTGACCACGTGGTGAAGGAAAGTGTGTTTTTCAATGGTGGTCAGAACGGTTTAGCCGTGTAAGGTCGTATTATATTGCCCCATCTTTTATAGACCTGAACAGCCCGACCTAACAGGTGTCTTGGCAGACAGGGTGGGAGTAATCCTTATAAAATCACTACATGAAAATAAAAGAGTCGGTGGACTGGCCAGGGTGTCAGTTTGCCCGACTGTAAATGATCTTCCGATAGAGTGGGCACCCTATATCAAAATAAAAATGCAATAAAGAAACAAACACAGGCAACTGTTTTAGTAAAAAGGAAGAAGAATCTTATAAAGTCATCTGCACACTATCAGTACTAGTTAAGCTTGTAATTTACATACATGATTCTTAAATATATATCCTTTATTCGAAATTCTTGCGACCGGAAGTGCTTTGGTTCTCAGATGTTTTAGGATTTTGGGATACAGGCTATTTGTGTTGTAGAGTAGTTTTCACAGTGGAGGCTTGCATTTCAATAAGTCGTCCTAAATTAGGTTCGACGTACAAAACGTTGGGAACTTGAAATAAGAGTTAATGACGCAGCAATCTAGTTGTGATGGTTGATACTTCAATATCCGACATCGACTCACTCAACACCACTGAGCCCAACTAGCCACTACTACTTATCTGTGGGAGAGTCTATTACAACAGAATAGGTATTATGGTATAACAATTTGTATATATCATCTATAAAATGGAACAACTCGGGAATGGAACCCATTTACATTTCATAACACAGCTTATACATGTACATTGAAGGTAGTTTTATATAAAATTGAATAAATTTTGTGTACATACAGATAATGATGCTATTCATGTAATACCCACACACACATTTTTAAGTGGTAAAATTAAGATTTCACGTAAAAATAATATTTTGTACTTTCTTTACGTGTACAAAAAACATGACCACTACTTACAAAAAATATATAAAATGCAGGACTTTTTAACTTTTTGAATAATATATTTACTGAACGCGAAACGCCTGGTAAGTAATCCACAAACGAAGGTGTTGCTGTGACGATCGCTATCAAAAAACTGGCGCCAACGTAGGCTACGTATCTGGACAGGGAAACCCCCACCCAGGACAGATGAGGGTCACTTACAACAGCTGCACATCACATAGGAACCTTCCCAGTGCTTTCTGAAATTTTCCATTTGTGGCAAATCACCTGATAAACTTTCTGATTTTGGAATTTCAGATAAAGGATACTCAACCTGTATTAGTCAAAATAATAATTTTTATTTTTTTTTATCATATGGTACTATTTGTTTAGTATGCTTTTATAATAAATTAAAACTACTTCTTTTTCTTGTCTCATTCCTATATATCTACTTTTAATGTATATTTTAATGTAAAGAATTTTATCATCTTGGAGATCACATATTTTAGTGATGCGTTGTTCTGGTAGACCAGACTCAGAAGGTTGATCACATTCTTAAAGAGCACCATATCAGTTATTAAAGTCCAATGTGAGAGGACATTTTCAAAGTTAAATGTCATAAAGACAAGGTTAAGACAATTTGATATCATACATGTTGCTAAGCATTGCAAAGAAATTGTTAGATAATTGAACGCAGAATTATAGGCAGATTCGAACAATCATTTATTGAACACAAACGATTACGCTTAATATAGCGAACTGTATGCAATGCTTTGTGCTTTCGAACGATCTGTTGATGTGTGAATTGTGCAGCAAACTATTTAAAAATGTCAACCAATTACTTAAAATTAAAAATTAAGATATACAATTATAACAATATCTGTATATATCTATATCTATCCGTGTTTCACCACTGCTGTGGCCTGGTATTGAACTCACAACTCTTTGGGTCTAGCCACTGGATATAACCAACGTTAAAACAAACAAGAGTTGTGAGTTCAATACCAGGCCACAGCAGTGTTGAACCAGACTTGGAGAGTTGAGTTAAAGGGAAATAACTGAGACATCGAAAGAGGCATGGTACGTAGAACTAGAACAATCTATCCCGGTGGACGAAACAAAGCGTTCGGTTCGAAATTTCAATCACCTGAAAAAAAGACCGGACCGTACAACGGCCGAAACGTTGCAAATATGGCAATGAAGATGAGGATAACAGTCCGAATAATGTAACTAATGTAAGTAACAAATATAACGTTCTGCATTTACATTTGATATCTGCTGTCAGTAATATGTACAGGTGATATACATTGTAATTACTATGAAATAGACATTTCTTTCCAAAAATATTTAATTGTACCCTTTTTTCTGTGTGTATTTTTCAAATTTTATTTATTCGTTATGAAAATTAAATGATAGCATTGTAGTTGTGAGTGAAATCCTTTGTCTCCTGGTAACCAATATTTCAGATGATCTCGTTTGCCACAGAAAAGAAAATATGATTCTCTATCACCGTCTGTGTAGTAAGTTGTATTACTCTTACTACTGCTGTTCAGGGATCAAATATTGATGACATTTTATAATTTTGGCCGGCGCGTACTGCCACTCGAGAGATGTGCAAGCCTGATTGGAGGTCTCGAACACTGTTTTGTGACCCTCGCTATCTTATCAAATTTTGCATTTTTTCTACCTACATTTATATACGTTACAAGTTAAACTAAATGCAGCTAACTATTAAAGGATGAAACACTTTTGCAGATTTTGTCGTCATTCTGGGGTCTTTACATTTTTTCGTCCAAATCCGTGGATTTTTGTTGTTGTTGCTTTTTTTACAACGGGTTAAAAGCGACATTAGTCTTCTGTGCCCCGCCAGCCGTCTGTCTTGTTCTTTGATCTGAAAATAATTTAACACTCAGCAGCAAGAGATGTCTAAAAAAAAAACAAAACAAAAAAAAACAAAAGATACAACTAGGAATCTTGACAACACAAGCTCCACCTACCCATTTGGTGAAAATAGCACAAAATTATAGCAGAATTTCGGAAAAATATGAAAATTGACATGTAATAGAGTGAGGACCCCGTATTACAAATTAGGTCCAAGGAACACTTGCATCAGTCCTGTTTATGGTTATATGTGACGAAATGCTTCATAATTAATGTGCTAACTTAATTTTTCTGTTGGAAGTCAGATTTTAAAATTGCATCTTAACGTCAGGCTGCATTAAAATAAATGGTGCATTTGAAATAAAATTAATACAAAAAGAGTTTTCTTACAACAATAAAAATAAAATAACCCAACAGGAATAACTTTACCGTTTTTAATCATTCAAGTGTTTATTATTGGAAGAAAAAAGATACTTGGACGAAAAAGAGCATACCTGAAATTATTTCGACACTTTTGTTTCCCAGTGCAGATATTTCTTGTAAATTGAGTGAGAGAATAAACCCTAGCCAAATCAATTCAAAGGCTGTCAGCCTAATACTGACCGGGTTGATAGCCATCATAATTACAAACTGAAAAACACAAAAAGAATCAAGTATATTTTTAGGATATAAAATCTACAAAGTCAGACAAATATATTGTTAGAGAAACGCGAATTCACAGATACCGACGAGAACCTAAGTTAGGTTAGATTTTCCAAGTAGATTTATTGATTTGTTTTTATATAGATTTCGCATCTTAATATATATAGATTTTAATATAAATTTTGCAAATATATTTTAATATAGATTTTGCAAGTAGATTTATTGATTTGTTTTTTAACGGCATATAAACCTTTTGCGGGTTATTTAAAGCCATAAAACGTTTATAAAGTGTAAAAATCTTTTTGGAGATAATGATTTACCCATACGATTCCTACTAATTAACCCATAGCTGGGGGAGAAGAGTTGGATTCATACCCTTCCAAAGAGTATTTGTGTGTAAATGAATACAAGGAAACCGACTGGAGTCGTTATCCATTGCACCACCCGCACATCCAAACTTACAGTACCTGGCATTCCCAAGCGGTTGCTCATCTAGGTACTGACCAGGATAGACGTTGCTTAACCTCGGTGATCGTATGAGAATGGGAGTTTCAATGTGATATAGCCGTAAGCCGCAAGTAGATTTATAAAATCCATAATTGTAAGCGTTCTTGATCGAAGTTCATTTTTTTGTTTACATTCCATTTGAGAAGATAATCTTGTTTTGACCATTAAAAGAAATCTTTCCTGGTCTTATTTCACCCGTTCTTCTGCCTCTATGATTTTAATCTTTTATTAACAATCAACGCTGGTAAGATATTTTTGCGACGTTAGTAACGTCTGATAAGAATACGTGACTAAATTTTTCATACGTAAAATATCTGGTTATTCATTTCTGGACTCCAAATTAATGTAGGCTGAATCGAGAATATGTGGCTTCAGCTTACTCTTCAAATGTTCTATCTTCTTGCGATGGTGTGAGGGATTCTCTTTCTCCAATCGTATTTCGGGCGTTTGTAAAACTTCCTGTTGTCTTGTGCGCGTATCGCTTAAGTTCAGCTCGACTCACTTTCTTGTTTATGTTGGTGCACTCACCGACATCATTTCAAACCCGATTCTGCACTTGACGGCGTTGCGGTTACCTACTAGGTCAACCAGGCTTACGACCAGATCACGTTAAAATGCCGGTTCCCGTACGATCACCGAAGTTAAGCAACTTCGAGCCTGGCCAGTAAATAGATGGATAACCGCTTGGGAAGGCTGGACATTTTTCTCTCAGATGAAGATGAGACTTAAAGCAACAGAGATATGGTTCCACAGAAGGATACTGACAATAGTATATAAGAAAAGAGGAAATTTTAAAGAAAATAGAAACGAAAAGGACACATGCAATAAGAAACAGACAGAATTTCTGGGATACATAATGAGGAAGGGGGTCTTGGAGAATATAACACTCACAGGACATACTGAAGGCTAGAGGGACAAAAAAGAAACATCAAGTAATCTACCTAACGAGTTTATGCAGATGGATGGCAGAACTGGAAGAGATGGTAAGAGTACAAACATTGCTTAGAGCTGTAAAGGACAAGAAGCCGTGGCGAGCCATCATTGCCCACATTCTGAACGGATTTGGTACACAGAAGAAAGAAAACGCGTGCAAAAATTCAGAGGTATGTGAAAAATCCACACATAAAAGAGGATCAATATAAAACAGCGGGCTCCGGGTAAAAATTGCCAAAAACATGATTAAAGATTTGCGGACGTAGTAGATCATAAGGTATAAAAAAGAATGTACAACCAATCACTGTTGGTTTAAGTAGATGTCAAAACCTTCGAGTAGGTATTACTGAAAACAGATAAAATGTAAGACTTTGTAACAGGTCATAGTCACTCAAAAATAAATAAACTCCTACTTCATACAAATCTATGCCAAGCGACTCTCTTACCTCAAACAGCTAAGGGAAGCTGCTAGAGATCAAAAGACTCATCTACCACTGCCAGCTGTTCTCAGTCAATACGCTCATTACACACGTACCAGTAGAAATTGAGTTTTAATATAGCTAATATAGCTGCCTGTTCACTGTGTCTTGCTAAACAAATTTATCGCCAGTATCGCTCTAACACATTTATAAGTCTACCATTCGTCCATGCTTTGAATATTGTTGCCACATCTGGTCTGGTGCTCATGCCATATATTTGAATATTCTTGATAAAATACAAAGAAGAATCTGCAATGTTATTTGTCATGACCTGGCACCTCTGCTGCAATCACTTTCACATCGCCATAACGTAATAATTGTTCTGGTCAATTTTCCTCTATGGTACGTAGATTCCAAGAATTTAAGCGCAGTACTATATTGTCAGTAAGGTCTCATCCTTTTACAGTTGAAATGACTAGATGTAACCATATGTTCTATGCTAACAGTTTCTTCTCTCGCACCTCTCGCTTGTGGGACTCATCTAGCTACTATATTTCCAGTCAACTTTGATCTTCAAAAATTTAAGTGCAATGTCAATTCTTTTTTCTGTCTTTCTAATTTCTGTCCCTTCTCCTTAATGTTTTTCTCACATTCTCTCACACTCAGTAACCTCTTGATTTTAGTGGCTTTATTGCCTTGCTTGGGGTGAAATGGTTAGAAAGATAGTAGATAAAATAATAAAATCCACGGCGTTCGCGACAGAAAAGATTAATTCCTTTTTTTTTCTTTCACGCCGATAAACATTGGCCCGATAATTGATTTATTGTTACGGCTTATTAACCCTTTATGTTTTATAGATCACGCAAAGCATTTGACAAAGTACAGTACAAGGATTTAGTTGAACTACTAGAAAATCTAAATCAATTTGGAAAAGATGCTGGAATAATCCAGAACTTATACTGGGAGCAAACCGCCTGGATACGGATAAAAAAAGTAAATTGAGTGGCTATACAAAAATAGAAAAAAAAATGGTGGGAGACAAGGATGCGTTTTTTTCCCGGATTTATTCAATCTCTACAGCGACGATATCCTAGGGGAATTGGAGAGCCTACCAGAATTTATTATCGGTGAGCGTAATCATAACAATATAAGGTATGCAGATGACTGTGCTGATGGCCGAATCAGAAAGAAAACCACAGGACCTGCTAGAGACGTCGGTAGAAGAAAGCGAGAATAAATGACTAACAATCAACTGCAAGAAAATAAAGTATGTTCATCAGCAATAGAAAAAGCCCAAGATACGAGTTAAGAATTGGAGATATAAACACCAAGCAGTTACAGGATTTTAAATATCTGTGAAGTATTTTAACAGAGGATGGAAATTTCGACATGAAGATCCAAAGTACGCATTGTACTAGCGAAAGAAGCATTCCAAAAGCTAAGCAAGGTGCCGAGAAAGCGAAAAAAAGGCCCATCACTTATGGAAGTCTTTGCTCAACTAGAAGCTATCAAAATAAAATTTGATATTGATACTAGTGCTAGTATTTCTATATTGCCAATTCCTTTAGTGAACGATGCTGCTTTGAGGCTAATTCATATATCGCTCTCATCCACCAGTAGTTGTTATAGTATCACATGGCATCATTCACTGCATGCGCACAGGGATAGCGGCTCGGATTGAGGAATCGGAGAGCCGAGTTCAAATTCCAGTCGGATCCATTACATTCACTTACGCACTAATACTCTTGGGAAACGTGAGAATCCTCTTCTCCATCAGCTATGGGTAAATATCAGGACAGGCTGTGTTCTTTAGCCTTGGATGGCAACTGGTCTAGGAGAAAGTAGTATGGTTCTACAGAAGGATTCTGAGGATATCTTGGACCGAACAAGTGAGCAACGACGAGGTTTGAAAAAAAAAAAGAAAAAAAAAGGAAAGAGATAGCTAGAGATTTCTAGGACTTGGAAAATTTTATAGTCACAGGACAGATGAAAAAGAGGAAAACTCGGGGCACCTCGACATTGTGTAATGGTTAGCAAGCTTATCTCGCTAGATCAATCACGCTATACTTTCGACCTTATGTCACATCTAAGCCACGCTTAGAAAAATCACCATAACCTAGCTAGCGAGTATAAGTAAATGGATGACAGAACAAGATAGTTTAGGAGAGATAACAAAGAAAAATTTATTAAGAGCTACAAAGGAGAGGAAATTGTGGAGAACCATGATCGCCAACGCACTGAAGTGACAGGGTAAATAGAAGAAGAGGAATATGGAAAATCTAAGTGTTACATTACCTAATGGAAATACAACTAGGAAATATGATGCAGATTATCACAGTTTAGATACAGGATAACATACGACAGATTTTTTTTCGAAAACTAGACGGAATCGCACATGCAAATCTGAGGTACTACGAGCTGAATTTTTTTTTTTTTTTTTAAAGGGAGGTAAACATGAATTCCCGAGTGGTATTTCTTTGTAAAGGTGAACGTACATCTCAGTTTAATTTATTTAAAAATTTGACTAACCACCGATGTTGAGTTGATCAATTAATTTACCTCTAAATAAACGTTTTTGCTAATAGACAACTTCTGCTTATCACAAGATAAAAGGAACACACTTAAAGCAGCTACTTTTCGTACTGTTTGAATATAATTATGTCTTTCGGGCTAAAAATGCGTCAACAAATTTATCCCAATTATGTCAAAATTGTAGAACCATTGTCTTGACCTCTACAGATTATTTCCCAGTCCTTTCTAATTAGGAAGTCATGGAGAAATAGGACCAAGGAATTCTAACCTACCTGTGGCTAAGAGGCCAAGATGTCTCGCCTGCAATTTAAGTAAAGCGCATGCGTGGTTCCAGTGCTTTAAAAATTATCGCTAATTTGCATGAGTTGTCAAAAACCTGAAAAAAAAAAAAAAAGTGAGTCGCACAAAGAGAGAGATCGACAGAACTTGACCTGTGTTGGACCGGGTTTGTTGCGGCTGTTAAGAACAGATGTGCAGAAGGTGTAGTAGCTAGCGGCTTGGAACGACAAATCGGCGAGCCGAGTTCGTATCCCGGTCGAATTCATTACATTCACTTTCGCCCAATATAACATTGGGAAAAGTATAAAAACATTTCTTCTTCCACCAGCTATGGGTTAAATAGTTCAGCCACCTGTTGCCGGGCATAGATGGCTAGACACGTGATGCAGATTTTCTGTAAAACGAAAACACGATAGATTACAACAGATCTGGATGGTTCCACTGGATAGCGATCATCCAAAATGCCGTTGGCACCAACGGACATTAGGTACAATGATGGCGCCCATCTGTCTTTCGAATTATCCGAAACTGGAAGACTTTATTAGCAATTTCGATGTGAATTTTTGTGATGTGGAGTTTTCATTATTTACACTCTGACTATTCTCTCATCTTTGCTATTATCACAACGTTTCGAGTTCGTAACACTGACAACAAATAGATACGATATTTTGCAAGAGACTGTAGTCAGTCAACTAAAAAATGCCATGTCACAAATCTACGTCAAGCAACTCTTTATTTTAAAGTGATAAGCGAAGCGACTAGAGATCAAATGATAGACCAGTGGAACTACATATCAACTTCTGTGCCAATATGCGTGTTATTCCTTTTCTCTTGTAAGTTATAAGTCATAACATTTACTAAAATGTACGAATACCAGACACATATATATTTCTATAAAGAG